GTGCCCACTGCTGAGCAAAGGCCTCTTCTCACACGGAGAAGGTTTAAGTATTAATAACCACGCTTCCTCAAGGCAGATTGGCGATTTCAAACTTATAATTACAAATTTTAAAGTCCTTTGATAATTTCTTTCCCCGTATTACATGTCATTGTTCCAAATAATTGCATAATATTTGTGAAAAATCATAAGTAACTTATGTTAATTATGGTTCTTACCTTCTTTTTCATTGGTTTGATAAAGTTTTATTTTGATCACAAAATAAAACTTTATCTTATCTTTATCTTTATTAAAGGGAAACAATTGAAGTTGGGTTAATTTCGCTTTAATGCGTAAAAAAAAATCGAATAACTTTTTTATATTTTAAAAGAGCGTTATAGTATGGCCTCCATCTTATCTGGTGGTAAGCCACGACGACCTACAATGGAGTGCCTACGCCTATAGTACGCCTATATAAAACAAAATAATATTCATTTAGGCCTTAAAGACAGCCAGGTTATACCTACCTGGACTCCGGCAAAGAGCCACTCCTTAGCGGTTCTGAATAACTCATGAGAGAAAAGATTATAAAAGGGAATGTAGATGTGATACGAACTTCTTTGTTTCTTTTCCTTACGATATAAAAACGTAAACTTATTACAATATATAAATGTAAAAACAATACACGATTTGTGCATAATAAAATGGCTAAAATACACATAAATAAGGTATTATTCGTGGAGAAACCAGTCCGCCATGTTTTGGTGCAAACCGTGTTTTATTCGCTCGTAAATTTGGCACTTAATGTATTTTTGAAATGATATTTGGAGAGGAGTTTCATGATGCGAACGATATAGCGATAAAGGTAAAGCTTGAGATGTGAAGAGCGGGTTTCAAATCGCTGTCGCTTCGCTTATGACTCAGATTTTTGATTAATTCGAATGTTGTCCTCCGGATTATCATAAGCGATGTTTTAAGCCTAATTTAAGTCAATCGTACAACGGCTGACTCCATGCTAATGTTGTTCTATAACCAATGCTCTTAGGCTGATATGTTTTGAAACAAAAGCCCCTAAAATTTAAGATTAAAAACATTCAAATCTAAGACTAAAATATGTCTGTTTTACTACCCTTATGTACCTATGTAAGTACCTGGTGAATTAAGTGTCAGATTAGTAATCCCATTACGTTCTAAATTCAAAATTATGTGGTAGATAGTTGCCATCTAGACATTAAGAAACAGTCCTTTAAAGTTTTAAATTTAAGTAATGAATTGATATTGCTTAAGGCTACTTTGTTATTTTGTTGCCCCGGAAACGAAATCACTCTCAATCCAGGGCCGGACTATCCAATTAGTAGAGCCTCTAGGCAATGTCTAGGGGCCCCGAGGACCCGGTAAATGTGGCCACAAAAATAATCATTTTTTATGTAATCTGGGGCAAACATGCATATGGATCACCTGATGGTATGTGAGGATCAGCGTCGCCCACAGATACCTGCAACACCAGAGAAGTCATAGTAGTCGTTGCCGGCATTTTAAAATGGTGTACCTACGCTTGTTTCTTGACGTATCGGTATAGAAAAACTGGCGCCGAAAGATAATTCCAAAGTTTTGCTGTGCGAGGCTGAAAGACTAATTACTTTATAGAGATGGCTTTTAACAATAACATTGGCCATCCATCCATCCTAAAACCGAATAAAAATTGTTCGCATTATCATAAAAACTAAGAGCGGGCCCCTAAAATTGCACCGCCCAGGGGCCCCAGCTGTGTTGGACCGGCCCTGCTTCCATATGCAATTTATAAATATAAACGCAACAAAATAATTTTAATTAACATAGTTTATGTAAATCTGTCGAGCATTCAGCTTCCGTTTGTACCAAAACACAGTTTAATTGCATATCTTTGGTCACAACTGTTTTTAATTAAGATGAGTATCTCACTCGACTCACTAAATAACGACTTTATCTACACTAATAAATATTAAAGTTTATCACACTTGATGTTAATTTACAGTTATTTTTAATAGTTGCGTGAAGTTTTTGTTATTAGGATTATTACTGTTTTTAATACATATGTTGATGGCAGTGGTATAAACCATCCTTTTGAAGTAAGGTAACCGACATTTTTTTTTAGAACATTGCCCTACTCTAGGTTTTTTCCAGATATACAATTCCACATAGACATGACACCCATACCCGGGACAGAATCAGAATATCAGTTTGTTGATTACAGAAAGAGTTGATGCGTGTGGCAATCGAACCCGTGACACGTTGCACGGCAGCCAGTTGCCCAGCCACCGCACCAACCGTGTAGTCAACACGGAATTTTGTAGCCCTAAATGGAATGGCCACAATTAAGGGCATTATAACTACAATAATGTAGTTTTCCTCTTAAAATCGCTCCGCTTCCGCTCATCACCACCACCTCAACTTTAAAACAAAAAAGGTTCTCAGCAATCATTACGGTGTTATTCAAAACCCTATATTTGGAGGCGGGGGGCGTCAATTCGATACCCGATTGCATTAAGTTTGCCGAAAAAATATGAGAGTCTTTCGTAACACGCCATTTTTTTCAAATGAAATGGTGTAATTATTTGTATGATTTCATATTTCATCTCAAAGTGTGATTGCTACCCTGTACTCAAAGTAATAAGGAAAGGAGAATCTACTTTTTTATATAAACTTATGTATTGCTTGGTAAAGGATAGGTATGTATATGAATTTCTTTTTTACAGTGTACGGTCTTTTAGGGATAAGGATTTCTGATATTTAAAAATTGAGAAATGTAGGGGGAGGAGGTTGGTTTGGGACTCCGGTAACCTCACTCACAACGCTCTGGTTGTTTCACGCCGGTTTTCTGTGAGGCCGTGATATCATTCCGGTAGAGCCAACCCATTCGTACCGAAGCTTGGCTCGCCTGCAGTTACTCGATTGACTATTTTCATAACCTATGACTAAGGGCTGGTTTTCGCAATAGTAAGATGTTATCTGAGGAATAAAATTGTTGCTGTCACTGTCTTATACAAACATTCAGACGCGACAGCATCATAATTATTCCTTAGGTAACTTTTATCTAACCATTGAAAAATCAGCCATCATAATTAAAATCATTCAAATAACATACCATATATTGTTAAAAAAACTGCGTTTCACCAAATGTAGATTATCAAAAATATCAACGCCTACACCTAATAATACTTCTAAGGAAATATACCTTTTAAAGCAAACTGTTTTATAATCTCCGAACACAGAGACATACAAAAAATACAAGTCGAGTCTGTGACAAAGGAGGTACCATAAGTGTTTCAACCTTGTCCGGTGAAAGGTTATGCGCCGGCGCAGCCATATATCCTTGTTGGGATTGACAGACAAAATATGTTAATGGGGACTTAATGCCAACACGATATTTATGCTATAGATAAAAAAGAATTCTTTTTGGATTATAATAATTATTATTATGGAGCTTAGAGTTCATAGCGCTGAGGTTCGATGTTTGTAATGAAGTAATTTTTTGTGTTATTAATGGTCGTTTTTTGATTAAAAATAAACTGGAAACAATAAAATCTGTCTATAATTTCATATTATACAGATTTTACTGTAAAGTTATGGAATGTTAACCGTAAGAGGATTATCCAAAATTTTAACAAAAAAAAAAAAATCTAAATAAAAGAGGAAATTTATTTTAATATTCATATTAATCTCTCTGTTCTTTATTGTATTTAAGATTATTATAACCCGAATTTGTCATCGATTACCCTAAAAAATTTACTATCCCGCCCTGGGTGACGCGAAAGGGAGTGCCAGATTCTTACTGACTTAAAACCCTGTTCCTTCTCCTGCTCTAGGCTAGGGCTTCACTATTGCGACATAAGCTTGACATGCCAGTTGGAGATTGCAGCTTAGTACCTTACCTCTCTGTCTGTTAGTACACCATATGGCGGTTCTTACGATCCATCCATTGGTTTTATCTAACTAATTAATAAAAGCTTATAGAAATACTAGCTTTTACCCGCGGCTTGTGGAATACTGACTTCCTGCTGATAAAACTATCCTATGTCCTTTCTCGAGTTCCAAACTATCATCATCATGAAACCGCACTTTGGAACCTCACCAAAACTATGCCCTGTACCAAATTTCACAGAAATCGGTTCTATAGTTTAGGCGTGAAGAAATGACAGACAGACAGACAGACAGAGTTACTTTCGCATTTATAATATAAGTATAGAAGTATATAGACAGTACAGATTATCATCACTTAAAAGTTAAAATAAAAACACCTTCCACACTTCCCATTCCATCGAACAAGACTAAAAGAAAAGCAGATCAAAAACGCAACAATTTCATAACACGTTTTACCTCTAGAGAAAATGAGAAAATACTCGAGTTTCTAAAGCGAAGTGAAAACTGTATTACCGTATCGATCGAGATATGTACATACAGTTGAATAGAAAAGTCGTTCGTACAAAACAAAATAATCTTCCGTAACGTGAGATACCTACACCACTTTCATCGTCTTAGTAGTCATCAATATGTAGAAAACTAGAAATGTCTGTGATTTCTTTTGGATTTGTAACATGCAAGCTTCCCACCTGGCCTGATTTTTGAAAAATACTCTGGAATAGGTAGATTTTTTGAATAACATACATGTTATTTTTTATGTTACTCCTAGAAATGTATTTTATCATTTTAAAAGAATACTTTGTTCATCTACCCCTCTTTGAGATCCTCTAGACCCCTCTTTGAGAGGCTTGAGTCGCAACGTGTTACGGATTCGATTTCTGCAAGGAGCAACTCTTTGTGTAATTCACAGATGGTTGTTCCGGGTCTGGGTGTAATGGGTGTGTCAATTTGTACGTTTGTAAACGCACCCATGATACAGGAGTAACTCCTAGTACTCGTACTCTAAAGTAAAAAATAAACACTCTTTTGTACATTTCATTTTAATTAAATCCTCATACTTATAATGCTTAAAAGATAAGACATGGGTAAAAATTTCCTAACCAAATTTTTATTTCTATTTCCAGCATAGAGATGGCGCTGTTATGGTGTGTGCTGGCGTGCGCGCTGACCATTGCGCAGGCGCAGTCGAACTACGGGTCCCAAGCGAATAATATCGAATACCAGGGAGAGGGGCTCCCTGAACAAACTGTTTTAGATGGAAAGGTGAGCAATATTTAAAGTTATATTTTACCTTAAATATTTTTTTAAATCTGAATGGTCAGATAGAGGTACAAACCAAGTATGGTGGGTTGTATTCTCTCCACATGATATAGGTACAGCTAAATAGAGATATTATTTTTAACTCTTAAAAAAACTCTTACTTAAAAAAAAAATACTGAAGTTTGCCTCATTCCGCGAAAAACCATAATACCCATTTCTCAGCAGTTATATTCTAATAACCTGATACTGGGACCAATTTAAAAAAGCAGAGAAAAAATGAATACCATTCGACCAAAGAAGCAACTCTTTACAATAATTTCTAGAGCAATAAAAACACTTTTCCATAATAACATCGCGGGTAGCGGTCCATTCATATTCACGTGGTTATTGTTGAAACTGGGACCAACCGCAAGGTACCGCTGTAAGTGAGTTTGTTATTACTCATCTCTGTACGTTAGGTGCGCACGCGCACGGAAATGTAACAGGAATACCATACAATGTTGCACCTGTTGTTTATTTGTTTACAAAACTGTAACTTGGCGTTTTGTTTTAGTTTATCATTAATTTGGATTATGTAATCCATTTTAGGTGAAGTTAGTTTTTTTGCGGTCAATTTTTGGATGGGTGTGCAAAGATAAATGACAAAGATGTCTGTAATGTGACAGTGATCGTTTACCTCCAGCAGACCACACTTGATTTTAATGTTAAAAATAACAAAAAATAAGTTTTAAGGCATTATCTCAAAAGCTTTTAAACGAACAAAACGCACAATGAAAAATCCCACTACAATATGTCCAGTAGTTTCGGAGAAAAATTACATCTAATTACGAGACCCGTACCCATATCAAACGTTTGTACAGAATGCAAAATTACTTTGTGTCGTCGATAAAAAATGCGACATCATGATTTTGCACAAAAAGATTAATAATTTTCATTTACTGAGTGCAATTTGTGGCGTGGCCTTGAGAGTATAAACCAGCGATTTTTGTACGACAGATCCTCCTGTTCTTCATATTAGCTAGCTCATTGTCATGCCATTCTCGGCTTCTTTTGTCCTAGCGTGATTTTTACTGCCTAAATATGTATAGCCTCCCTGCACAAAAATATTGTTTAATTCAAATCAGTCGTTTTTTTTTTATTGTAGTAAGTCGGCAAACGAGTAGACGGATTACCTGATGGTAAGCAATCAACGCCGCCCATGGACACCCGCAACGGAGGAGTTACGAGTGCGTTGACGACCTTTTAGGGATTAGGGATTTGGAGATTTAGGGATTGGGGAAGGGTCCAGGAAGGAGAAGGATTGGGCCTCTGGTAACCTCACTCACACGGCGAAACACAACGCTGTGGTTGTTTCACGACGGTTTTCTGTGAGGCCGTGGTATCACTCCGGTCGAGCCGACCCATTCGTGCTGAAGCGTGGCTCTCCCACACTTTAAAAGTCGTTCCGGAGAGTAGTAAATTCAAACTAACATTTTACATTTTTTTATTTTCCATTTTAGAGAACTGAGTGCGCCATTAGGCGTCATTAATCGCTTACCATTAGGTCATCCGTGCTAGTTTGCCTCAATGAGCTTGCTCTAAATAAAATAGTTTGCCATAATATTAGGACTTAACACGACATGTTGTTTTAACAGTCAAGTTTCAAATTAAAAAAGAACTAGCTTCCGCTTGAGGCTTCGTTCGCTTGGTATGTTGATAAAAAGTAGCCTATGTCCTATTCCGGAGTATATATTATGCCTGTGTCAAATTTCATCCAGTTCCGTCTAGCCGTTTTGGAGTGATTGAGTAACAAACATGCAAACATCGTAATTTTCGCATTTATAATAGGAGTAAGATTCTCCTACTGCTTCTCTGCCAAGAAATGTGTGATCTCTTCAACGGCTGTGATAATCACAGAAAAAATACATTCTACTTTAAAAAATACATTCAACTTGGTCGTCGTCATACGTAGAAAAATACTTTCTAAGGTGAATCTATCTATCGAAGAAGAACTATGATGAAAATGAGTAAAGTTTTTAGTGGATTTATTAACAACCGTGACTAATTTTTGTTGTCAGCGGACAGTCTCTCGTCTGCACAGGCCTTGAGGATAATTCATACTTAATCGCGACGTGATGTGACAGATATTTTTTATTCGATGTTGCCTTGAAATTTGTGGTATATGAAATTATGTAGTCTATATTGTAGTTGTACAAATTGTAAGTGCGAGGCGTTTGGGAATTAATTATAAAAGGCAATAAATACTTGTTCCTATGATTAACCCGTGGTATGCCGGAGCGCAGATATAATATACGCGAGACACAATGTGTTTTCTATTGTGTCTCATATACCGGCAGACTAGCGGTTAAGTATTTTTAATGAAATGAATTATCTTAGCTTATCTACTTATCATATGTAAATCTATATGGATACATACTACAATACCATAACTACTCGTAATAGTGTATTAAAATTGGCACGGCGCTAGTGTAGATAATCGTATGTGCGGTCACTAGTAGCCAAAACTAGAAAAAAGTGAAGGCTTCACCTTCACTTTTGTCGGTTGTTTTATCGAGTCTACCTATTATTAATCAGTCCAAAGAGTTCAAGTAAGGGAGGATATTTTTATTGTATACCTAGTTACTATTGTGAGACATACCAAATAAAAACAAATGACTGAGTTGTGACTAAGTCATTAGTTTTAGAATAACTCAGAAAAGCTGTGCTAATTTCAAATCACAACGGGACTCTTTCATGACTTCTGACCGACCAATCGGCTGATCTATACACTGCTGATATTTTACAATAATTCATTAATTATAATTATAGCAATGCTTTTGGTCATGTGACCTTAAAAATAGTTTTATTAGACACGAGAACCCGCATTATGTTTTTGCCTCCAGGAAGTAATAATTATCTACTATTTTAGCCTTTTATTGGTAGGACGCGAGTGTGACTATTTGGATTACGTAAAGCATTTTGCGTCTGTCGCCATTTGATCCGTTTTGAATTCTCTTTATTATAACTTTGTTATTCTTTAAATGAGCAAGAGGTTCCATTTTCGAAATTCAAAATTTTATAGGCAAAGGAGTTATTATGCATTTCGAAAAAGAAGTTCAAGATACAGAGAAAGACAATTTAAAGTTTCTATACGAACTTAAGATTACTTATAACAGCCAGTTATAACGATACTTCGAAAATGTATACATATAATTAAGTTTTTAGACCTTGATATACAGCATATGACAGCCAAGTTAGATTAAATTCGATTTGTTAGTTTTCATAATTTTGGTCTCGAAAGAATGTAAAGAAATTCGTGCCATGTAAAGGCTCTTTACATAAACAAACACGCACTAGGTATACGGCACGTAGTGTTCCGAGCGCGCCTCACAGAGCCTTCAGTCGAGGATGAGGTTGTAAACAATAAAGTAGCGCAGCCCTGGCCTGGAGCAGTAGAAGAAACGGGATGATCTTTAGTTAGTAATAGTCTGATACTCCTCACGCCTCACCCAGAGCGAATGAGGTCATTTAAGGACATGACTTTTCTTCCACAAAAACGTAAATACGAATAAGCACTCTGTTACCCGTATACTGATCTCTGTGACCAGCGCGAGGTGCTGTCTTGTAGAAGTTGAACCTGCCCATTTTACAGCGCGTACTTGGGACGTGCACCCACACCATTATATCCAAGTACTTGTACAGTTTATTACTCTTCGCTCGTCATTTGTTTTAAGCGTATGAAATTAGCAGCGTTTAATGCGATAGATTGTCTAAAATACGCAAATCAAGTATAATTTATAGCCTATTATAGCTTTCAAGTATAATTTAGCTGCTACGTATCAATGAAACAATTTGTAAAATCCGACCAGCGGTTCGGAAGATCACCCCCTACATAGAAACTTACAAAGTTTACCTCTATTAGTATATATGGGCTAATAAATGACGCTTCAAATTCTCGTACATCTTAGTTTTTGGGTTCTTTTTACTCACAACAGATGTTCGTATTTTAGGTCGTCATAGCCTTGACTCGGTAAACTTTGTATGCGCTCAATACCTGCCCTTCTTTGACCCAGACCTCTTAAATCTTTCGGACTGCGTCACGTAACAGCTTTTTCTTTTTTTATTGATGCCTTTTTATAGGTACTCATACTTTCAATATCGGTTTAATATAATAGAGTGAAATGAGACTTATGAAAAACTTTAAGTGTTAATTTTACTTGGGGTCGGTAGAAGACAGCGTTGTGTTTCGCCGTGTGAGTGAGGTTACCGGAGGCCCAATCCTTTCCCTCCCCAATCCCTCCTCAATCCCTAATTTCTAAAACGTTGGCAACGCACTCGTAACTTCTCCGCTGCGGGTGTCCATAGGCGGCGCTGATTGTTTACCATCATGTAATCCGTCTGCTCGTTTGCCGACCTATTACATAAAAAAAGAAGAGGAATAATTTTCTTTGAAAAAAAAACTAATTATGATCTCTTTATCTAAGTCCCAGTCTAGCAAGACCGAAAGTAATCTTCCGGCTGTTTCTTCTGACTTTATTTATTTTCTTGATGTCGCTTCATAAATTCTATAACTGCACTTAATACAGACTAAAAATTCTACCAAAATTGATACTCATTGCTAGAGTACATATTGTAAATAAAAAAGTATTTTTCTTTACCAAAACAAAATAATAATAATATCTTTAATAACAACACGAAAAAGAATTCGACTTTCAATTTCAAATTGCGAACGTGTGTGAATTGACCTTTGAAAATAAAGTGTGCCAGCTATTATCTGTGGTTGATAGACATTTTTTATTGATTCATGTCGTTCGATGCGGAAATAAGTTTCAATATACATCAAAGATTGTTTATGGATTTTTTATAATTTGTCTTTTTTACCAATTTTTTGTAAGTTACATTACAATACAGTAGTTACCAACTAGTCAAATTCAATACTTTAATCCAAATGTCAAAAACGATTCCTTATATGAAAGTTGTATGAAACTCCAAATTGAAATTTAGTAAGTCGATAGGCGTATTTATTATTTCTTAAAATTATCTAAATTTGTTTAAAATATCTAAAATAAGTGTATTGACTGATCGATGAATAAAAGTATAAGTAGGTATAGTAGGTATGTATATTTTTTCAGTATAGTTTTTATTGTATTGAAACGTCGAATTCATTTATTTTTACTTAGAAAACTACCCAGTTTGTGAGAGAATTTATTAAAGTATGTTCAATAACTAGAATTTTTCCTTAGTTATAGCAATCCCTTTATTAAGCCAAAATAAATAAAATGCATATCGGCGTAGCTTAGTTTGCCGATGCCTGTCTTGAGGCTATTTAGTGTCTATAAGACAAAATATTACTATTGTAGTGATTATGGCTATGGCCGACGGGTAGACGTGGCTAAAACCTGCATTGTCAATACAGGCTAACCGCCCGTACTAGCCTGAGAGACAAGATATTGTTATTGCACTTCCAACAGAAAGCTGTACTTATAGTTTTGTCGATAGGCGCTCTCTGTTGTGATGATAGTCTGAATGGATTGTTCGTTTCCATTGAATTACGTCATATTTTTTTAATAACGGCCTTACAGAAAACCGTCGCGTCGTGAAGAAACACTTACGTTGTGTTTATTATTAGCCTTTGAGTGTGGTTACCGGAGGCTTAATCCTCAATACCCTTAAATCCTCAACAATATACAAGAGGGCTGGCAACACATTTATAGTAACTCCTTAGGTATTGCGAGTTATGGCATATAAAAAATTCTTTGAACTTCTCTCTGGATTTCGGTGTCGCATATGTCTTTAGACAGCGCCTTTTGTTTTCTACCAGGTTTATTGGTTGGACACTTACTTACTTTCTTATCCCAATCAATTTATTTTATTCCATAGCTTAATATGTCATCATTAGACAAAAACGTCTCATCATTATCATCAATTATTGCTGGAAAACTTCCACTGGACAAAGGTCTCCCCCTTAGTTGTTTACGTCAAACGATAAGTCGCCACTCGATCGCATTTATTGTTTCCCAGCGGCTCTGCCGATGTCGTCGTCCACATAGCAGGAGGTCCATAGTAGGAAATAACGAAAGGGCGTCGAATAAGTTGAAGTACAAGTTTGCCTTGTACGACCTAAAATTAGTAAGAAAAGGAAGCGTTTTTACCTTCATTTTCGAGTGTAAATCCTAAAGGTGGACACATATCTTTCGGGTTCAGTATGTTGTGTGACCGTACTACTAATTTGACTGTTTCTAGACCATCAATCTTTATCCCACCGTCCTTCCCTTCCCAATCCCTAAATATCTGAACCCCTTTTCCCCAAAATGCCGGCACTCGTAAATCCTTTGGTGTTGCGGGTATCCATGAGCAGCGCCGATTTCTGACCATCAGGTAATCCATCTGCTCATTTTCAGACCTATCACATAAAAAATAACAACGCTTCCTAGCACCTAGCTTCACTGACGAACAGACTGACAGACTATTATTCTATTTTGACGTTTCAAAAGTACCTGTTTAAGATAAGTTGGAATAAATGATTTCGACTTTGTCTTTCTTAGAACATTTTGACGTATCGTACAATTATCTACAATGGAAACGAACACGTATAGAAAGTGCCCGAAGCTAATAATTAGCAGTAAAGATTTATAGCAGGGTTTGGCATCCAACTAACTAAATATAGAATTGTTGTTGCGACCATCTCGCTTCGGGGTAGGCAGTGCACTGATTAATATAGATAAACTGGCCCCCCGTCTTCTAGAAATAATTGTGATTATTTAAAAACGAAGTATTCCTCTGATTAGTTCTAAAGTAACTTAATTGTTTCTCATTTAATTATACCGTTGCTTTCTCAATTATAAATAATAATACTTATATTATTTACGATGTTTTGTTGTTTGTCACTCAATCACGCCAAAACGGCTGGAAGGATCTGGATGAAATTTGGCATAGGTGTAGGATAGTGAATTTTGACGAAATTAGGATAGCGAAATTTTAAATGTTTTGTTCAATTTTCTTAAAATGGAACGACTTCGTTCTAAACCTTGTGAATTTTGAGAATTTTCTTCTGTGTCAAAAAAAAGGGAGGTTATAGAGAGCTTGTCCCGAAAAAACCCTTCACGTATAAATATAGAGCATAGATGTGCTATGTTTCATGTTAGTAAATAAATTTAAATATAGAATGTTGACTATTTTTTTTTTGTTGCAGGTTACAAAGCTCGATGATTTGAGTCCTGTGATATTCTTGAACCGAACGAAGGCTGCCCTCAACTGTGCTGCCGGGTCTATGCAGGTATGTACCTTGAAATTTGAAATTAATTAAGTAATCTCTGTGGCAAATATAATATCTAAATATTACACGAAATATCCGTCTAATTTAGACGGACGTTTTATTCTATTTTTATATGCTTCGTTTTTTAATTCATGTATTTAAAATATAATTTCTAAATTCAAGTTAAATGAGCAATAAGGACGAATGAGGAAAAGAGTAAATTAATTATGATATAAAAATGTATATTTTAGTGCTGACCTATTTCTCATTTCATTTGAACTAAACGTAGATCTGATATTTTGTATTTGTCAAAATTAAAATAAAAGAAACATTGTAATTAATTTGAATTTCGAAGATTATTTACTACAAGAATAAATATGTTTCGTTTCGTGGACACCATTTGAATTTGAATGATTGTGTTTTACATTCTACAATTCTACATTGTTTAATATTATAGAATTTATTTCTATGTACAATTGTACAATTACGCAATTTGGGATTTAAATTCTAGAGTCTCAATCATTTATAACTGATTTTAGTTATCCCGTACGCACCCAGTTTACTCTCGAAACGCATTTAACTTACATTAACAGTATATCTCTGGTTTGTCAATAGTACAGAGAATAGAACAAGTACTAACGGTCCAGTAAAGTATCGGTAACCGTTGTTATGTGGCCATTATCAGAGATATCGGCTCGTTCAGATTTGTGTTAGAGATATCAAATAAGGTTTTATTGCTAGTTGTCTTGTTTGTGGTCCGGTTACTTTTGTTATCTGTAGTTAATGTTGCAATGTGTTGTTGAGTGTAGGATTATTGAATACTTGTTGTATGTAATTTGGTTTTGTCTTTGGAATATTAAGTAATTTTTATTAAGTTTAATAAAAACTTTTGTAAATACAATTTTGTGAGTTTACATGGCACGGGTTTTTATGCAAATATCCAAGTTCGAAAATCATATAAATTACTATACATACCTACCAATCGTAATGTAACTAGTATATCAAGGTCTTAAAAAGTTAATTGTAAATATTTTCGAAAAAAGATTTCCAATGAATCCTTTAAATATTTATACTTGTGGAAATTTGTTGTGTCATGACAGTATAATAATATAATTATGAAAACCCGAGCTTCCAAAAGCTCTAACTAAACACTAAAAATAATCCTTTTCACCGTTGCGTCAAAAGCGATCCTATAATTTTGGTCCACTAACTACCATCTCAATTACAAATAAAATTCATTATGAAACAGAAAAAAAATAATATGACTGACATTCCACATTGTAATTTCAGATCGAGTTGAAATTCAACGAGAAGTTCTACGGCATAGCTTATGCGGACTTCGACCGTCATTCGGCCTGCCAGGTCCAGGGCAAGGGAGCTCTCTCCTACAAACTCGAACTGCCTCTCAAAGGATGTGGCACCAAACAGGTAATATTATGCAATTATTAATTCGATTACACGGTTGGCGCGGTGGTTGGGCAACTGGCTGCCGCGCAACGTGTCGAGGGCTCGATTCCCGCACTGAAAATCACTCTGTGTGATCTACAAATTATTATTCCGGGTCTGGGTGTGATGTGTACTTGAAATTGTATGTTTGTAAACGCACCCACAACACAGGTGAAAATCGTAGTGTGATGTAACGTTGTTTAAAGAAAAAAAACCGGCCAAGTGCGAGTCGGGCTCGCGCACAAAGGGTTCCGTAGCATCGTTTTCAGTGTAAGCACAATAACTTAACCAAAATTACAGTTAAATCAACCTATCTCAAAAACTATAAGAGATACTTTGATCAAACCAAAAATCGTTGAAAGAGTTAATTAGCATGCATCACCTCTATTTTTTTTAGAATTTTATACCCCGTAGTTATAAAAATAGAGGGGGGGGACATACTTTTTACGACTTTGAGAGCTGATATCTCAAAAACCGTTCACTTTAAGAAAAATGTTTTTTAGAAAACTTTATATCATTTTAAAAGACCTTTCCATTGATACCCCACACGGGTATGTACATCGAAAAAAAAATTTTTATCCCTCAGTTACATGTATGGGGGGCCCCACCCCCAATTCTTTTTTTTACTATTTAGTGTCATAATTTTGTAGCGGTTCATACAACACATATTCCCATCAAATTTCATCACTGTAGTACTTATAGTTTCCGAGTAAATCGGCTGTGACAGACGGACAGACGGACAGACGGACAGACGGACAGACGGACATGACGAAACTATAAGGGTTCCGTTTTTGCCATTTTGGCTACGGAACCCTAAAAATACTATAATTACTAGATGGCTATGCTAGGGTCGACGTCCTGTCAGATGCAATTAGCTTATAAGATGTGTGTCTTTGCCATCATTAACAGCCGAATTACCGAAGAAAGAATATTTTTATTATTTCAGTTTCGTATTAAATAAATTTGGGGTTTTTGCAAGTATCTATCTATGTGATTTTTCCTAATACTATGTACATTTTAAATATGTTTAGACACCATTTGCGAAGGAAAGAATACATCGTGAGGAAACCTAAACTTATCATTTTCAATAAATTATTAGTTTGAAATTGCCGATCCACTTTGAGCAAGCGTGGTGATTAATGCTCAACCTTTGATGATGATAAAATTTATCCCTGCCGTACCTTCTTGATTAGTTTCCGAACAATTTTAGTAGAGTACTTATTTATCCTAACTAATATTATAAATGCGAAAGTAACTTTGTCTGTCTGTCTGTCTGTCTGTCTGTCTTTTCTTCACGCCTAAACTACTGAGCCGATTTCTGTGAAATTTGGTACAGACATAGTTTGGAACTCGAGAAAGGACATAGGATAGTTTTTATTCCAAAAATCTGCAGGAAGTAACTCTTCCACGTGAACAAAGTCGCGGGCAAAAGCTAGTAAAACATAATATTGGAAAACGCATCCCCATTTTTTGCTATTTATTCTTTTAACATTATTTACTTTCAGACGTGTCAAATTCGCACCATCCATATCAATGAAATTAATATAATTAATAACATCCATTATTCTTCCAGGATCCTCTCCGAGTGTTCACGAACAACATCGTGGTGAGGTTCCACCCAGGCTTGGAGATGGATGGAGACGAGGTCATCACCATCGTCTGCCGGTATCCACCACCCATCGTACCCAAACCTGTCTTCAATCCCCTTATCTTCACGTAAGTACTGTAATTCAGAAGATTTTTCGTGTTTGGCCGCTATCACGCCTGGTGGTAAGCGGTGATGCGACATCCAATCGCTTTGATTCTGATATTGCATTGAATCTATCTTTTTCTTCATCGTATGAATGATGTCGGTTACTCTGCCTAAAACTCAAGAACTGCTGAACGAATTTTGACAATTTTAGTCTTGAATGTTTCAATGTCGAAGTTGAGAAAACTTGAATAAATTGCAAGCAAATTTGTGATATATCATTAATTTTGTTTCGAATAACAGATCTAGAAGTGATTGACATTGATAGCACAGTTGACGTAGCAGACAACTGGCTGCTGAAACGCGTTCGATTCTCGCACGATGCATTTTTTTTGTGATTTACAAATTGTTGATTTTGATCTAATTATGATGTGTATGTGAACTTGTATGTTTGTAAACCCACTTCCAACACAGGAGAAACTTCTGTTATGAGGCAGATTTATTTTACTAAGAAAAAACAAATACATTAAATATATGACATGGACTAAAGACTTTCGCCGGTTCAATGAGTCACAAATATTTAAAATAAATATGGCTTCTAAAACCTTGCATATCTTTCCAGGCCAGAGCCAGGTCCTCTTCCTGCGAAGGCGCCTCTCGCTGGTACCCATATCTTGATGATCATCTGTGCGATCCTGTTCCTCACCCTGCTACTCCTGGGTCTTGGAGTTTCCTACCTGTGTCTTCGGAGACGAGCCCTCCCGGCCCCGAGGAGGTTCATCGACGACTCCTCAGCTTCTATTGTCAGTAGGGAGAGTATTCAAGGTAAGATCAGTAATAATAAGGTTATTTTACATAATGGAGCTGTTCTTTGATGAAAACTATGAGAAATAATGTTAAAGATTGCAAAATATTTTACTGATAAGTTCGGCTGTTGTCATTTTTATTATATACAAATGATTGATCTGAAAACTGTTCTCTGAAAGGCAGATGAGAATCGTACAACCAGTTTTCTTTTCTCTAGATTTTTTGTATCATTTTAGCAATACGTAAACCTATAGGTATTTTCAGACAGAATCCTTAAGTTACAAAAATCGCATTATTAAAAAAATAAACTATCAAATAATATATCAAAAAGATAATAATAATGCAGATCGCCAAAAAAAAAATTACGACTTATATTGCAATAAAATATTCTAACAAAATTATTTTTTTATATTTTTTTTTCATAAAAAATATTAAACAATTTAATTGATTTCCTACTTTTTTTAGCTAAATGTTAGAAATATTCATATTGTGTATTTGACGAACAAAAAGTTTCGTCACATCACAAACTTATAAGACACACAGCCTTTATCAATTTTGACAATTCAAAATAATATTTTTTTTTTTTATGTAAACGATCGGCAAACGAGCAGACGGATTACCTGATGGTATGCAATCAGCGCCGCCCATGGACACCCGCAACGGAGGAGTTACGAGTGCGTTGCCGACGTTTTAGGAATTAGGGATTTGGAGATTTAGGGATTGAGGAGGGATTGGGGGAGAGGAAGGATTGGGCCTCCGGTAAATCACACGGCCAAACACAACGCTGTGGTGGTTTCACGCCGGTTTTCTGTGAGGCCGTGGTATCATTCCCGTCGAGCCGACCCATTCGTGCCGAAGCATGGCTCTCCCACACTTAAATTAATTTTCCCACACTTTAATTTTATTTTTCAATTGTTCCTTGCAATGAAAGTAACTAAATACCAGCTTTTTAATATAAACTCTATTCCCGTGCTATAGAAGTCAAGATCCCCCGAGCTCATCCCGTGTACCCGGCGGCTGCAGAGGTCGCTAGTGTGGCGTCCGACACGATACCATCCGACTACCCGTCGGAGACACCCAGTGAAGCTGAGCAGGCTCATAGCAATGCTGCCTTCATGATGGACGAATCTTATCATAGCGAAGGTATGTAAATATTTATTTAAAAAAAACATTGATTCACACTATAATACGATTTTTTCTCCTGTGTCGTGGTCTAGGTGGGATGTGTGTGTGAAATTGTATAATTGTATATTTGTTAATTTTATATACACATCACACCTAGACCCGAAACAATAATTTATGGATCGCACAAAGTTGTTTCGTGTGGGAATTGAACCCGCGACACGTTGCACTGTAGCTGGTTGCCCAGCGACCGTGCCAACCGTGCAGTCAATTAGATAGATTATAATTCGATTTTCTTTCTTGTAGCCTGATTTATCTCATCATTTTAGCAGCTTAAGGCGCTTTTTAGCGAGGTAAGGTCAAGTATGAAAGTGACTTTTTGTGAGAATAGCATAGGTCGGCAATCGAGAAATTCAACAGATTACCTGATGGTAAGCAATCTGAACCGTCCATGGACACGAACAGCGCCAAAGGAGTTACGAGTGCATTGCCGGCCTTTTAGGGATTAAATTGTAACCTTACATCGCTTAATAGTGACTTGCCTCAGTCCTCAGGTTTTTTAACTAATTATTAAATGTCTCTGAGTTCGGTAAGTAGGTAATTTATTTGTATTTTTTTTTCAGGCTACGGATCAACCCGGGAGGCTATAACACAGAACGCTCGCCTGGTATCGGGCGCGGCGCCCGCCTTCGACGTGCGCGTGCGCGTCCAACGTCCCCCCGCACCGCCATCCCCACTATCCACCATTACGCTCACCGAAACCGATGGGGGCAGTATACGGTAAGAAACTATGTATTTAAATACTTAAAATGTTGAATTAATTTTCTTGATTTATTCCGTATAAAACAAGATTTTCAGAATACTGAAAGGCGTAGACACACGTTACATTTACTTACCATACCTGCACTTTGATAACATGTGACTACGCCTTTCAGTATTCTGAAAATCTTGTTTTATAAAATTTTTCAGCGTTGGTCTTTGTCGTAGTTGGGTTTTAGAAATGTATTGAATTTTGAAGTTTTTGACTGATCTGAACTTGCCACTTCAACTGTATAACAATAGTCATAAAAAAAGGATTAGAAACAACCAACCTTCCTTAAAATTACCCTAAAAACAAATACGTTTATGCTAATAATATGTTCTTAAAATGACAGACAAACGATCCTCTCCGAGGAACACGAGCGCCAGGAGTCGGTTCGCACGGTATCTCCAGTAGCCCTCCCACTACCAGCTCGGGCCTCACAGCTACCGCCTCCGGAAAGACCGCCGAGACCTCCCGCAGTCTACTCACAGGTTAACAGAGAGAAACAGGTTAGTGACTGGTATTTTGATATGGTGATGGTCTTTTGCACTTATTTTCTGGTCTTTTGAAGACTGACTTTTAAAAGACCAGAAAGGAATGAGGGGTTTGATGTTTCATCTAATGTGGAAAATGAGTTATTTTGTGGGACCTTATTCTGTAAACTTTTAGAGATATTTTAAAATGGTTGTTTATATTATGGATCATTTATTTGTTTTGCAAAGGTCATAAATGGCTTTTCTAAGAAATGGCATTCGTTTTCTTTTTTATTATGTAAGAATTTATTGAGATTTTATGGTACCAAATTGTTTTTAATAGTAATTTCTTCATAGTGGTCTGTTTCAACAATATTCCAGTATAAAAAAATGTACCATCAATTAATTATGGGCATTAAATCCACCTATGTCGGTACTTTAATATTAACCTTCAGTTTTAAATTAAAAAAAATATATTCAGAATTCTTCTAATAAGTCATTTCGAAAAGTTTTTATGTAGGTAGGTAAACATTTATTTTTGACCAATGGTTAAACAGGCCACTTAATTCCATTTTCAAATTAAAAATTAATCTGTATGTTTATCACGAATTTAATGACCAAAATGCACAGAATCATCGATTGCACACATTGACACCACTACCACAAAATCATTTGACCACCAAAACACTTTTACACACAAATAAAATCAAAACACTGACTCACGTCAAACTCACCTATACAGGATGTACTGGTTTATTAGTGACGATATTTAAACAAGTTATTGTTTTTTTTTAATGATTATTGGTTCCTTGGGAACAGGCTAAGGTCCGAGACCATACCGCCTGGTCATTAGACAAGTTATTGTATTTATGATAGCAAATAACTTTCCCAAAAATATTTTTTATATACCTGCTGGAATCCGGAATTTGGAAATCCGACTAGCGGTTCCAAAGATTACCCCCTACATACAAACTTACAAATTTTACCTCTTTATAATATTAGTATAGATAGCACTCAATAATATTGTAGCAGTATCTAGCAGTGAAAGAATTTTTGTAATCCGTCAAGCGGTTTCAAAGATTACCTTCTACATTCAAACTAACAAATTACAATTTTTATTACCCCTTTGTAATATTAGTATAAACTAGAAAAAAATAGGCGTGGCCACCGAGCGTCTCCCGAAGTTTTCAAAGTTATTTTGTTTGAGATTTAGAGAAAACGAGACGTGTTGTAAAATTGTTTCGTAAAGGCGGGATAATTTATCGGTTTTCACATGTGCACGCATCGGCCATAGACTAAAAAATTTGGTTTCTTTTTTTTGGGCTTGTCGTGGATAGCATTTTAGCGCAAGTGTAAGCGTCACTCTAATAGCCTTGGCGAAATAATGCATGGATATGGTACTTTATAGTTTCTGTATTAAAAGTTTTAACAAGAACGTTTTACAAAAGTAGTGACAGCCATTATTCATTTAAAGTAAGAGAGAGAGAGAGAGAGAGAGAGGCGCCGCGCAGCGGCATTAATTGGAACTATTAAGGTTGCGTTTCGATACTACTAGGCTTTCTTAGAAACTTAAACATATTAAAAAAAACTCTATTACTCACTAGTTAATAATAGTAATGAAAAAGTCACAGTTTGATTTTAGGTCACTGTGTGCCCGATTGCCGTGAGAACGAGTCACTTTATGAGGAAATCTGAAAAAAAAAATATTTTTTTGTTTATTTTTTATGCACATCACACATATAGTAAGTAGGAAAATAAATACAGAAACAGAGGTACATAGGTACTGCATATTTCTGTATGGAATCTCTTCCTGCAGTGTTTGTTATCATGAGTAGAATCATATCAGTCACTAATTACCAGTCACTCTATACATTCAACAACTTACATCGGTTCACGTTTAACATTAATGATGAATAATTCCATCATCATTCACGTGTGACTAACCAGGAGTGGTCGAGGCGTCCCCGGTCCATCGTGTCCTTGAACACTGAGATGACTGACACCCACTCAGTCACGGAAGTCACTGACAGATCCCACGCTAGGATGTTCCATATCAAGGTACTAATGAGTCATTTTACTAATTTTATTTATCTTAATTTAAAAGGAAAATACAGGTAAAGTTAGAAAAATTTTGCTGGAAGGATTTGGTAAACTTAGGTACATTTGAATGCCCTAAGAATCTTGGTCAAATTTTAACGTAGTCAGATGAGCCAGAGGCTACGTCAATTTTGAAGGATTTTTATATGCGTATGACCTGATGGTAAGCAATCAATCATCGTTGATCATGGACTCCGGCAACAGCGAAGGAGTTACGAGTGCATTACCGACCATTGGGGATAAGGGTTGATGAGGGTTGGGGATTTAAGGATTGGGGATGAATTGGGGTAATTAACCTCACACGGTGGAACCCAACATTACGGTTGTTTCACGCTGGATTTCTGTGAGACCGTGGTCTGGTCGAGCCGCTCCATTCGTACTGAAGGCTCTCCCACACTTAAATGGGGACGGTACACGCTTATCGCTCTCGAGTTATCAAATTTTTGGGTCAATTTCCTCTATAAGATATAAAGGTTCTCTCTGTACTAAACGAAACTCTAAGCAAAGACTGAGATGTTGCCTCTAAAATGGTTAAAAATTTGACAAATTTTCTAACATCGTAACGAATATGTTAGAAGCATAATTGGAATTACCTAGAAATTCCTAAGTATTCAAAATTCCTTAAAAATAACAAGAATCAAAAATGTGTAACGATATTAACGTATTGTATTACTGATGTAGAAACCTCCTCCGCCACCTCCTGTTATGAGGGAGCGCTTGGAGACAGAGGAACAGGAGATGCTGATGGAGAGCCTTGAGCCCATTCCGGAGACACCCATCATGCCAGCCAGGTGAGTGGTGGAACTTGTCCGAAGTTTAATATGACCTATTGTATATAGCTTGATAACTATGAAAGAGTAGATGATATGAAGATACAAGAATAGATTGAAGAAGACATGGACCACGCAGGTTACAGAGAAGGAGTTCGATCGCTGTAGAAAACAGTGTCCCAGAAATACCTTCCTTCATATAAATACTGATACCCGATAAAATTATGTGGAACTTAGTTCATAAAAATTTCGTTCTGTATTCATATTACTATTATAATTCAGTCATAGTGAAACAAGTTCTAAAATTGGACAAGTAGATAATTCTGATAGGTTGGAAAATTGGTACAGTTCAAATTTGATGGTTGGTCTATTAATCTACTTTGATATTTCAATATATTGTTTAGTGGAAATTATGTATTTTGCCTTGACTTTTGATAAATAATTCTATGCTTACCTTTAATTTTGCACTACAATAATTATAAGTAAAATTGCCATTGTGTAACTCTCTAAAATTGATGTTCACATTCTTCTAGGAAACCCGAGATCACATCCCACGTAGTGGACGACGTGTTCCTCCGCACGATTACAGAAAAGAAGACCATAGAAGACATAGAGCGCCACAAGCGCCTGGTGACGGAATACAAACAGGTCCCCGCCCCCCCACCGCAATTCGACGTCACCATACGGAACCACACGGTACCTGAAGCCCAGTGGGAGAACTTCTCGGACATCAGCTCAGCGTCAGGCATGACGCTCACTCCGAAGATGGAGAGGGTCCCGCTGTCGTTGCCGCCGCAAAAGTATATTGGTGAGTTGGTGATTAGTGGTGTTTTGATGAGGTCTTTTACATGTTCTTCGTTTTTATTATTTACGGTGTCCAACTAGGCAAGTTTAAGGCATGATTGGACCCATTCGTGGTCTTTAAGGCACCGTCTTTACCTGATTTTCAAAGTTGTGGTTAACTGTGCTTGATGTAACCGGCTATTACATCAAGTACAGTTATATTATGTCAAACGTTGCTGGCAAAATATCGATAATTTGCTAAATGCCTCTTGGACTTTAATGGAAGTTCAAAGAATATACCAAATAAATAAAAAATACCACTTGGTCTTTTCGTTTTTCTCAAGTAAGAATTTATACATGATCTTCAATTTATTCTTTTACATTTTTCACAGGCAAAGGCGGCCCCGATCTTTTCTCCCCCGAATTAATCAAGCAGACAGGACAGAATTACCAGGCACCACCATCAGACCTTCCACTCTTACCCGAGCTACCTCCAGCTCGCAACCCGCTGTTCAGAGATGAGGATGACGAGGATGTGCCAGAACCGATACCAGCACCACCTGTGCCAAGCAACTGGAGTGTGCTTACTAGAGTCTTGAAGACTGAGGCTCAGGATGAGGTGAGAGAACAAAACTTTTTGTGTGATCTACAAATTGTTGTGATTATATATGTAGATGAATAGAAAATTTTCCATCTCCACGACACAGGAGAAAATGTTAGTGTAGGGCAGTGGTTTTAAAATAGAAAAAAGATTTTTTGTTTTAAACTCAATTTCTTTTTTTTAAGCTCTTTTCTTTATTCCCCAGGTACTATCAGAAACGGAACGTTCATACCGCTTGACACGCGAAGAACGTCTCCGTTGGCGTGAGCTGATCACCCACGAGAGCACCCTCCGCCGCGAGCTGGCGCGGTCCAGCACACGCGAGGAGTTCTCCAGGGTCGCACATGATCATCGGTTCGCGCCACTCTACGCCCCACCCAAGTGGGAGGTCATTATTCGTATTCTGGCTCCCCCACCAGATAAACCTAAGGTAAGGAGAAAAAATTAATGGTTCAAAATCCCAGAGACGATACCCTTTTTCTTTTTGAAGTCGGTTATAATACGGTTTATGAAAACTTGGTATATTAATCGTTGCAATAAAAATGTATATTAAATGACTAGCTATTCCCGCGTGGTTTCGCTGACTGCTCGGCTCATAGATCGTAACGTGATGTTTTATAACTTATAGCCTTCATTAAAAGTAACACAAAAATAGTTGTTCAATTTGCAGAAGTAGTTTCAAAGCTTAGTGCGATCAAAAAATATTCAACTTTATAATATAAGTTTCTAATAAATTAAAGCAAAAAAGTAATCATGAGCCGCGGTCATAGTTTCAAAACAGTCAAGTATATACTCGACACGATTAAGCAAATCAATCATTCTAATGAATTTTAAAAGTCTCACTTTTTTACGATGGCACAGAGAACCTTCTTTTTTCTACTTTTGATCCTGATTTTTAATACTTTATACCTCCAGAACCGTTACCGCAAGAAGACAGAATGGGACTCTCGGTCCCGGCGCAGCTCCCTGCCGACTCTGTATGAATACGACAGTGACGCCACCTCTCTTCGTGATCCGCAACGCTCACGCCGCTCATCCTACCGCAGTGACCATGTCGATATGAGGTACAGTACCATTGGGATTATTTTATATGGAAGTTGGATTTTTAATAAGTCAAAAATATTCATAAATGTACTAGCTTCCGCCCCTTCGCCCGCGTGGTATGTTTATAAAAAGTAGTCTATCTTATGCCTGGGCCAAATTTTATCCAGATCCGTCCAGCTGTTTTGGCGTGATTGAGTAACAAACGCCCAAACATCGTAACTTTCGCATTTATAAAATGAGTAAGATTAAAGGAGTTATCTGATTGCGATGTGTAATTACTTAGGAAACAAAATCTCGAAGTTTTTGTAATAGGTGATAAAAATTTATTAATCTCAACTCAGAAGTAACTCTACTTTTTAGTATACATTGGTCTATAATTGTTTTTATAAATTGCATATAAAAACTAAAAAATACAATCAGCCACCGCAATCGTTCCTTATTTGAAAAAAAAAATAGTCAATTTTTTTTTTCAAACGTTTCCCCACTTTAGGTCCTTTCTCCTTTGTCGTAGGTGAGTTTAAAAACACACAATTTCACATACACATCACACCCAGACCCGACATATCAATTTGTGGATTATACAAAGTGTTGTTCCGCGCGGGAATCGAATCCGCGACACGTTGCATAGCAACCAGTTACTTAGCCACCGCGCCAACGGTGCCGTCAAATCATTGGTCTAACTCAAAAACTTTTCTCTCCACCAAAAAGGAAATCATGATCATGATTATTCAAATAAATGCGAAAGTAACTCTGTCTGTCTGTCTGTCTTTTCTTCACGCCTAAACGACTGAACCTATTTGTGTGATATTTGGTACAGACATAGTTTGGAACTCGAGAAAGGACATAGGATAGTTTTTAAACCAAAAATCTGCAGGAAGTCACTTACCCATGCGAACAAAGTCGCGGGCAAAAGCTAGTGTATAATAATTACTTTTCCTTTCATTTCAGGTCAATGTCAGAGATGATGGTGGACTATGCGCGTGAGCAGGCTGACACTCACTCGGAGGTGTCGGCGGGCACTCAGCTCGGCAGGTACTACGACGACGACAGCGACTCCGAACATCCCTTCCATCAGAACCAGTTAGTACAACTTTGTCTATCCATTTGTTATTTGGAAATACGAGTATGTAGACACATGGAGATATGTATATTGTTTTCTTTGGTGTTTAGTTCGGCAAATAATCAGCAAATGGTAAGCAATCAGCGCCGCCCTGATTGGGCCTCCGTTAAGCTCACGAATGTTGGGTTGATCCGTTGATAACTTTATTGTCTAATACTTGGTTCAGCAATGCAAAACTTTATATTGATAATAATAATTTTTATCCTTATTTACATTCATAAATTGTTATGCCTTTATGTTTTCTGTCTTACTTACTTAATAGATTAATAAAAAATCATATTTGTGTTTCTTCATTTATAATCTAATTGTATTTTTTATTCATTTTTCCAGGTCTTGGTCCCGTCACTCTTTACACCGCTCAGTGAGTCAGCCATCGCTGGCTCGCTCAGCGACTGAAGTGGTGGAACAGTGGACAGTTCCTGAAGGAGACGTTACTCCCACTCCTGGACGCAGGATTAGAGGTAAGAGGTTTCTTTGATTCTAATAAAAACCTTTTAATGGTGGTCTGTGGTAATTCGATACATAATGGATTAACAGTAGGCTTTGGCTTGGGGTTTGATGAATTAAGAACCTTTTTCACAATGTCTGAAAAGCTGCTATGTAGGTACGAATAAAGATAGAGATTATAATTACTTTTCCTATCATAAGTAGCAGGTAGAATTAAATATGTTGCCATACGGGGCCCAATTGGGCTAATGTTCAGCCAGGGTTATGGGGTATGCGCAATAAGGCACCGCGGCCTTTAGTCAGTAAAAGTATGACACTCCCTCCCACCCACCCTGGTCGGACGACCAATTAATGATTTTCGCCTCTCAAAAAAAAACATTAGGAAGCACTTCTTTTTTTTAAATCTGATGTCCTGTGTGCTTATTTTGTATATAAATAAGTAAATATTTAAAATAACTACCTGTCACAATCGATAGGTTCTTTCTATTTTCATATATAAAGAATCTCTCTCTCTCTCTCTATATATTTATATAATTATGAAGAGTGGTTAAACAAGCGCAGAATGTGGAAAAGTATACTTTGACGGGTTGATTAGCTGAATATGCATATATGTAACGCAACCTCATATAATTTTCAAAGCACAAAAAAGAGTTGAATTAGATTTCAGGATATTTTTTTTTTATAAAAAGAAGGTATAGTAATTTTATTACAACGTTGAAAACGGATTTCTAAAACCTACTAAGCTTATTTTATTTTTCTACAGGTCCACAAGGATTAACGACCTTCACATCATCCGAAGTGCGAACCTTCCAGGCGTCCCGAGAATGGCGCGAATAAAGCAAGCAAATAAGTCAAGAAACGAAAAACAGATGGCGTTGTACGCAATTTTATGTATATTGAAAAGAAATGTCAGGAATTGATTGTAATTTAGCAATATTGTAACAAAATGTGTTTTGTAAGAATTTTGTCTTATGCTCAAAGTGACTCAAGTGATAATTGTTCACTGCCCTTTTATTAAATTTTCTTACATTCCTCTAGGTTTTAATGGAACTGTTCCGTCCTCATGTGATTAATACCTACTTATGAGAGTGGAATAACTTGTACATTAGAATTTTATTTTGTGTAAAAATTCGTGATAGGCAGATTGAAGAAGTACATGATTTTATATTCCGCATATGAAATTTGATTTGAATTCGGCGCGTCCGGGATACAGGTATATTTTTTCTTTTTTGGTATTTAAAATAATGAAATGTATACTTTTCTCTGTCCATCGCGATTATATTATTGTACCTTTTCTGAAGAAATAATGATAATAATTGATTTGTATATCAGAGCATATTTCAGTTATTTAGTGTTGCAAGTGTATATTTTTCGCACAAAATTCTATTTTCAAGTATTTTAAGTATAATAAAAATATAAATTGCTCTTTTTTATTTTAAATAAATGTACTAATGTACATTTTAAACAAAATATACCATTATTTTTAAATAACATGGTTTAAAATGATCAATTTTAGTTTATTAATATAATACATATAAGTATTAATAAAATAAAAATAAAATTTTATGATTTACATAACTAACATTGTGCCAAAATAAATGATTAATGCTTCTTAAAAAAAAAACAAATTTATATCTAATTATTTTTTTATGTAAATTTAAAATTAATTTTGCTTAATCTTGGGAAAGATTTTCAGCCATTTTTCTTTTTTTATTTTTTAACTCTGCCAATACTAATATTAGTTGTATATAGGTAAATATAAGTTGAAGATGTGTTATACCTAGCAGTTGAGGCAAGATGGGGCACAATGGCGAAGATGTTATAATCAACATAGAAAACAGTGTTTTATTATTTAGTGTTTCAAGCATTTTGTAATAGATTTACAAGCTTATTATTTTGCGAATTAAGTTGAAAATAGATTATTAACATTTCATATTGAGCAACTGCAGTCCTGGTAATGACACCAGGACTGCAGTTGCTCTATTTAGGATTTTTAATTTGAATTTATTTTGTTTTTTTTTTGTTTGAAACATCTCCTGTTTTGTCCATAATATTCTTTTAAAGAACTTCTTGCCTCGATTGCTATGTGAGTGAGGGATACAAAGGGCAAAGGGATGGTGCAAAATGTGCTCAATAACCGGTTGTAACCAGTTTTTATGTGAAGACAAATTAATGTGGAATTTTTGAAGTTATTCAGTTACAACTTCAAAAGGCATTTTTTTCAAATCAATGCATTAGATCAGCATTTTTAATTTAAGTAATGAACTTCAAAAGAAAAAAAATCTAAGTGACAGTGACGTTTTGAACAAATGTTGCCAGTAAAAATAAAAGGTAACCAAGTGGTGCTAAGAAAAAAATCTAATATTTTTTCTCTGTCAATCGAATTTGTTTACATGTAAATTTTGTATTTACATTGTGAATTTGATGTATTTTTAATTAAATATACGTACCTTAACATTTTTATTATTGTGTCTTATTTATTACCCTCTTCTCATGCATGAGGGTGCTGGCCAAACCGGGCAACTACTAATGTGACTTCCTAACTTCGTTTAAACAAGATTGACAAACTTGAACTTATAATTTCTAAATATAAATTTGAAATCCCTCTTTCATCTTGAGCAAACGCGATGATTTATTTTCAAACTCTCTTTGTGAGAGAAGAGGCCTTTGCTCAGCAGTGTGATTCTGTAAGACTTCATTCTAATCTTCGAATCTGAATCCGCTGTGAGTAGTACTACACTAGCGCTACACTTGCGAGTTGAACTAAGTTGACCGCAACATTTTGATAGATAAAGTATGGGATGACGTTAAAAGTGTGAAAATATACATAGGCCTAAATAAATAAAAACAATACAAATACACACTTTGGTAATTATTCAGATTTTTGAAAAAAAAAAACAGATGAGGGTAGTCACACAATTTAGCATCCGAATACCGATTTGATATTTATCTATTTGTCCCCTCACCTTGGCTTCAGTCGCACGCGAGTTATGTCGGACTGCGATGTTGTCACTTTATTTGTATTTAAATCCTTATTAAAATAAAGTAACAACTAACTTAAAACTATCTATTAAAATAATATCAACCAAATCAAATAGAATTCATAATATTTTATTTTGATCCATCGCAATTTAAACAAAATTAACTAAAATTACATAACACTAAACATTTATAACAATAAATTTTACTCGTAAATTAATAAATTCGACGATCATGACATTTTTATATACGTAAGTATCTACAAAATAATTTATAAATATTAAACAATAATAATAATAAGATAAGAATTTTAAAATTCTCCTAAATAATTCGTCGGTTAGGAACTTAATGAAGCATTTTTGCGCACATTATTTTCTATCTACACAGATAATTGTAATGTTTAATATTATTAATATCGTCACGTATCTAAAACGTTGCAGTATTTGGCGCAAAATTTCAAACAATATTATTTTAAAGAGTAACAGTAAATTTCTCCAATACACACGTAAGAAATTCCAATCTTTAAAAGATTACGATTGGTGTAGAAAATACATCGCTAGACGATATTCTGCTATAAGAAACTAAAGTCGTCGTATCGAACAATCACTGTATTGACAAAGATAATATCAGAAATGAAAATTCATTCATTCTAGAATATACAAACGACTATCTATCAGTGCGTCACGTCAATCAAAGCGTTACAAATATCAAAGATCAAATCGACAAAGAATATAAAGACGAGAAAAAACTATATTACAATATCATTAAGAAACAAAACAACCTCAAAGAGAATACAGATTTAACAATTTACAATACAGTTAAAACGGTAACCTATCACATATATTACATGGTCTATCAAGCTCAGTTACAAATAAAACTATTTGTACAACTATGTCAACTATTCAGCTATCTTATTTACAGTCAACATATGCATAGTGTAAGGTAGGTACTATAAACACAACAACTAAGATATGAAGTATCGACAGGTCCCATACGTCATTATTTGGCATATTATTTCTGTTATCTTTTTGGCATTCGACTTCATTAATATTTTATTTCAACACTTCCATAAGCACACCGGTTTTTTTATTCTATTCATGGTCCAAAAGACCGTCTACTATTACAGTCTCTAGTTCTGTATCGCCTACTATTAAATCGTCAACTACACTGAACACTTTCTCTTTGTTTGTTTGATCGTCTATATTTGACTGATTGATCCAAGAGATTGCCGTCTTCTTGTCACTTGTTTCCAAAATCGTTTCTCGAATTGTTTCTCCTGGAAGAGATGGTATTATTTAAGGGCGACTACTTGTGTTGGCTATGCGTTATGGATTTATAGGTATCTTAAATCTAAAATACAGGGTTATTAGGTTGAATTTTGTTTAAATATTTCTTATGCTCCATTCGTCATTGTTGGTGGTTGGATTTCTGTAATTAAATAACCCTGTATGACTCTACTTGAGCTTGCTACTTAAAGTTGCAAAGTGAAACTAAGATTTTAAGTGACAATGTCTTTGTACAAAATTCAAATTAATTAAAGACATTTAATTACTAATAATATGCAAAAAATATTAGCGAAAACGAAGAAGTGGTCGGCTTTGTTAGCGCTACACAAAATAAACGTTTGGGTGAAACTAAGGAAGGACCAGCTAAGCTGCAGGATGAAGAATGAAAAGCTTAATGATATTTTATTAAAAATATATTTTCGAGAACACTCGTTCCAATTAAAATGGACAGATCAGTTCAACAGACAACAAAAAACAAATTTAGCGTATCTGAAAGCTGGATTTAAACGTTAATTTCTAATATTTAAGCAGATAATAAATTGACATTAGCTTAGTGCCAAGACAATCACAATCATTATAATGTACCAAATGTTAAATCTTAAGACATAGGTAGGTAAAAGGAAATGAAATATGAAATATGAAATATTTTCACTAAAAAGGTTTTAGGACTAATATAACAATTAATAACATTTTTGAAATTTAAAAGATTTTTTATAATGGAAAAAAGGCAATTTTATTGGCCAATTTTAATGAGTTTTAACTTATTTTATCACTCGCTACTAGTTCGTATATTTCAGTGTCCAATTACATCAACGACTTTATGACGTCTCAAATATTAAAATGTTCTTTAAAATTTTATAAAACGACTTTTTCATTTATTCGTACAATTTCATTTAGTTAATCATTTCCATTACTTACTACTTTTGCTTACAAGATTTTAACGTTTACTCCATCTAATTTACTAGGACGAAATTTCATTAACATTTTAACTTTTGAATCTATACTTAAGGCAGGTTTTATAATTGTCCCGTTGACACTTTCATCCTCATTTCTAACACTTACACCTAAACCCCGCAAAGTTCAGTTGAATTTTCACATTCATTCTTAGTTTTAAACGTGTACAATTTATTATAGGAAGTTTTTTCATCATTATATTAATTTGAAAATGCACCTGAAGATAGCAAAATAACAATATCCAAGTTAACCTGCGTAAACCGTCCAAAAGTTGACAAAATAGAAAAGTTGAAAATGGAATTCTAGAAAGGACCAATGAAAAAACTTCCGTTGTAGGTTTAAATCCAGCTGATTGGCACAGAGAAGGCGCGTGCGCTGTGCTCAGACATAGCCATTGACAAAGCATATCTTGTAATAGCCGTTGTTGCTCACGGAGGTGCGGCGCGGGGAGAATGGCCGAGCCGCCGTCGCGCTCGCGACTATGAACGGCTCGCGGCGGGGGCTATCGGACGACGCGCGGCGCCGGAGGAAACCCATTCTGCGGACAGAACAATTTGATAGATGCCTTAAATCTCTAAGTGTAGATGTGTAATTAAAAACTTCTGAACTGATCTAAACGAAATTTTACACACAGATTGATTGTAGGCTGGAAATATGTATAACATATGGCAATTTTCGCCATGGTGCTTTAAGCTGACGCTAGTAGAAACTGTGATAATGAATGGCATTAGACGTTGTGATATGAAGTTCAGTTGTTTCTAAAATGGTTATAACACGAGTATAATTGTAAACATTACTAACATCTTCCCGTTCTGGCATAGAGAGCGCGTCCGCGAACGCATCGTCTGAACTTCCGCTCGTGCCAGTTGCTCCATCTCCATAGGTTTCTCGCTTTCTGGAACTGATTACAAATATGAAATTAGATTTTGATAGAACAAACAATCCTGGATAGTCTCATAAGTAATCTTGTCGTTCCAAACATACAGAATTGCGCGAAGTAATAGGGATTTACGGACAGTGGATTTAAAACTTGATGATAGGGAGTTAGGGCCTCAGGTAACCTCAGTCACACGGCGAAACACAACGTAGTGTTGCTTCACGCCGATTTTTTGTGAGGCCGTGGTAGGTATCACATAAGTTAGTTTAAAAAAAATTGGTCATACCCTTCCAGGCATATACAGAATTGCGCGAAGTAGTATGCGGGGCGGTGCGGCGCGGGTGTGCGCGGCACAGCGTCACTGCGTCGGCGCTCGCCACGCGCCGGAGCAGAGACCGTTGGCACGCCGCGCGAAACGACCAGGGGTCGGACCCGCCACCCTGGTACATGTGAAACCATAAAAGGGTTTATAGTTACAATAAAATTCCTCGAATACCGCTGAACGTAGAAGACACTTCTACAGTCAAACATGTGTCGGATTTCAGTATGTCATGCGGTATGACATAACATCAGTAATCATGAGTCAAAGTCACACTAGATGTTTTTTCATAATATTTTCGTTTAGGCTTTAAATTCATGAATTGAATGGAACAAAAACTGATTTGAAATAATTCTCTACTGAACATGTAACTTCTCCATTTCTACAATAACATACCCAGGACACCTCCTGATCTGCCAGCATGTCCTTCCCCTGGTCCAAGGCAAGTCTCATCTCCGCTCGAGGACTGAGTCGCTCCGGCGTCCGTGGTCTCTGTTCCTCCGGTTGTGAGGTAGCCTCCGGTGCTGGTGCTGGCTCCGAGGCTGAAACGGCTGGAAAGAGACACTTGTATTATATACACGAAAAAAAGACCATGCACAAACATTTGGCCTCATGGTGTTTTCATTTGTTTAGGTATGATAGATTTTTAGATGTTTACGTTTAGGCATGATACAAGTATGATTGAATACTCTGTATTGTGCACTGTAGTTTACACTACCTAACACGAAAACGCGTGAAGATAATATAGGTTTGAACTTGTTTCATATCATCACTGTCCAGTCCTTACTCCCCTCCTCTTATCCTTTCCCAATCTCTAAATCTTCGAAAAACTAATCCCCAAAGGCCAGCAACGCACTCGTAACTCTTAGGCACTTTCGGTGACCATGGGCACGGCTCCGATTGCTTAATCAGTCTACTCGTTTAAACAGCAAACGAGCATTTTTGAATTCAATTTTTTTCATACCACATAAAAACAAGTTTTCACATACCATCTTTATGTAGGTATCATAATAATATTCTTATGTGTTTATCATCCCTATTTATGTGCCTTACTCTTATTTTATTTATTGACGGTTCTGTCTATTGGTCTTTTGGTCTACTATACTGATAAGATGTTCGTACCTGGTCCGGGTTGGTTGAGTGTCGTAGGGTTGTGTATAGTGGTGCGTTCGAGTGTGGAGGGCGTGCTGTCCGAGCTGGCTGAGCCCCGACGACCAGCTCCAACAATGGCACGCGCCTCCGCAAACTCTTTTGAAACTGCAAACAAATAAACAATGAAAGCTCGATATAACGAACCGGCTTTATTTTATTCCAGTAGACTATAAGGTCTTTAGTGACAGTGTATTTTTAGTCAAATATTCAGTTGATGGCTGAGTAAAAGGATGGTGAACTAACCAGATAGTAAGGGCGTCGAAGGCGCCTCGTTGGTGGGTGTCCGGTCGGGGCTCAGCTCGCACCCGACGCCACCACCTCCCTCCCCTCCAGCATGTTGCACGACGCCCGCACCCTCGCCCTCTGGTTCTGCAAAATCGTCACACTTGTACTCTCAGGATAACAACACTTTTGTGATCAGTTCTGAGTCGTTTAGTGTTCTTGTTGTGTATATTTGAGATGCGGTTCCATTTCAAATCTCGGTCTACTTGGTCTATTCAGGTAAAGACCGAAAGAACGGTATACTCACTAAATAGAGCAACTCAAAAATAGTCAACCGAAAGTCGAATTTAAATCGCTGGTAAGTACGATATTAAAAAATAATGTGTGATAAAATTGTTGAATAAATACGTATTTTGGATAATATGTGTGATTTCGTATAGAAAATATGTAGGTATAGGATATATTGTATAATAAAAGAATAGCATATGAATAATAATACAACATGTAAAGTGCTAGCTACTGATACTGTGCTTAGTAGGGGTACAAAGATAATGTTACCAGAAAATAATAAGTTTTTAAGCGAGTCCATTAATATGAAAGCCAAGCTTATAGTAAAGTAGATATTATTCCTGGTTATATGTGTACGTACTAATACTTTGTAATGATACTCATGCATCGTGCTGGTTTGAGTAACAATAATATGGTCGCCATAATTATAATATTTGTGTATAATGACGAGAGTCTTTTGTTTCTCACCTTCCTTCATATGTCAAGCTGTCCATTTCTCTGTCAAAATGTATGTTCTCTGTTAGTATGCTTGTGTGCTTGACGTTGTGTTATGTGATAACGTTGACGCGAACTGCTTCGTCCCAACATTTATCATTCTCATTCATGCATTCATCAGCTCTAATAACTTTTATTTACATGAAGAAGAAATGAAAGCAGCCAGAAAGATCGTTGGCGAAGATGAGTTTCAATCAACAATCGCCGTTCTAGACATGAAGGTATGAATGCTAAAATAATGGTCCCTAACAATCACACAGTGAGTTCTAGCATCGTCCAAACACATGGTCCTCTACACACTTACCAAGAAGTAGTATCGGGTCGTGGAGACGAGCTTGCGGACTCACCTTGATCTGAAGCAGAGGGCGGCGGGTGCGGCGCGTCGCAACAGTCGTCAGCATCGAGGCCACGCTCGCTGTCCTGCGCCAAGCGCCGCACCAGCGGACCAGTCACAATGTGAGATTTAACCTAGCTACGGGACTTTACTTCCATTCGCCAATAATCTGGATCCAAGTCCAGTACGAAAACTTTTCAAAATATCTTTTCTAAGTTTCGTATTGTTTGCAAAATTTTGAATTTTGTTTTGCTAACGCGTTTTAACGAACTCTGTATCATGGCATAGCTATTTATTGGAACAATATATAACATTTAATATACTGAGGTCCTCAAATATATCATGCAAGAAGCATGCTTCACCAATAACATTATTTTGTATGGTTATTGGCATGCTATGGGGTTACAACGTATACTCCTACACAACTATTATATTCTCTATCTGCCAAAGTTGACTCGTCTCAGGGGTCATCTAGCTCAACATTAAAATTCTGATTAAAAATAAGATTGAATTTCAAGAATGTTGCGTCAATTTTGACAGACTGTTGTTCTGTAATATAGGTACATACATTACATCCGAAATAAACAAATACGATTTAGTTTATAAATAACATAATATAACATTGAAGTACATTACTTATAACATACAATAACATCAGTTACAAAGGGTAAGTTTTTGCACCAAATTTCGACTCTGGAAAATTGGGAAGATTATCATTACGGGGATTATAACAGTGCATTTGGTAATTGTGTTTTATTTCGTTTTTACTTTCAAATACTTTGGAATATTGAACTTTGGTGCAACTATTGAATAATTTTCTATTATAATTAGTGTTGATATTCACCTGGTCATCAGAATTGGTGGGGGTCGGTTTGTTGTCTTCGCTGCCGCTGTCCGAACATTCTTCTTCCATCAACGGCTCTAGTCTTCTCCTAAATACATCCCTACGTTCAAGAATGTGATTAGTTGAGGGTTCAGTGTAATTTTTATGAGTAGCCAATTGGATTTGGAGAAGGAGATTTTATCAGGAAGTAGTAAAGATATTAATAAGAAAGTGATAACTGTTCTAGTAATAATATTGTTCCGAAAACAATTACTGATGTGTACTGGGTACATGTTAATAAGAACTGGATAAGCAACCGTGAAATGACTCAATTTAATATTTAGTCTAATAATTAAAGCATTCTGATTTAAAGTAAAATCAAATGTGGCACATAATTGTTACATTTTTAAACTACTTTTTAATTACTGTGCTAAAGCAATAATAGCTGATCTATTAGTGAAGGTTTGCTTAAAATCTTCTAAATAGACTAGGAATTGTCAATGCATTACGAAAGGCTCCAGATATTTACCTTGGTAGTAATGGTCTAAGAGTTGTAGGTCCTGTAATTGTAGGAGCCATGAGGAGTTCATCCATCATCAGCTCAGTGTCATCGTCACCAGCGTACGATGACGATGACTTCGTGGGTGACTGAAATAGTGCAGGATTTTCCATTCAAAAGGCCTAGAGTGTTATAGTTTAGTGTATTTTTATGGGAATCAAGATTGAGATTTTATCGTTGATTAAATTTTGCTTATCTAACCTATGTGATGGTTACTTTATAACTTTTTTATGTTTTTTTGATAGCTACTTATAGATAGACAATACAATTTCGTTTTGCGAGAAAAATCATTATTTTTTCTTGCCCAAGGTGAGGAGAGAGGGAGTGTCTGACTCTTACTGATTAAAAACCCCCCGTTTCTTCTTCAGCTCTAGGCCGGAGCCGCAGTGACTTATTGCACTTGCGCCGCAACCCCGGCTGAACATTGACCCTGTTAGGCCTCGTCTTTGAGACGTAAGTATGCGTCGTATGCCGGGAGATAAAACTGGGTTGATGTTTATTTAATTAAGAGCAGATAAAAGAGTTCTATCGTTTTGACAAAAACGAGTAAGTACAAAATATTATAATTTTCAATCTACGTTACATGAAGGTTATGCATAGATATTTACCGATAACGTTCCATGTTCAGAATCAGGCATGTTATCAGACAGGTCTCCCGAGGAGGGAGTTCCCCAAGCCTCCTCTCCGCTCGCTCCACTTCCTTCCCCTGTCTCACCAGTACCCTCCTCCGTACCAATAGTTGACTTCCAGTCGCTCACACCAAGACATCTGGCAACAGAGGTCTTCGTCAGATAGAGATCTACGTAACCGTCAATTTTGACTACATAAATAGGTTGACTATTAAAATTGAATATAAATCAGTAATTTGACTAAGAACTTCTAAGTGTGAATATAAATCAGTAATTTCACTAAGAACTTCTAAGTATTATTATATTATAAAAATATTGATATGTTTCGTTTAAAATCTATTGAAAAATTATTTGTATTCTTCACTCAATCTAAGTAAATATCACAAAAAATACTACAATTACATTGAACAATTCTAAACACAAAATATTCCATTGATATTAAAATACTAGTTTAACGATTTTAGAAATCTTAAGTACTTTTAAATTTGCTCTAGATAACATGGCGTAATAAGTAGTATAATATTTTCTCAAGTAAAATTTCTTCAATCTAAATAAAATACTATCTTTATATGTATAATCAAAACTAGCTCAATAGCCTACTTATTTTAATAAATATAGCATAAAAACTATTGTTACTAAATTAGCAGATAATACAGTTATGTTTCAGTGTCTAAGAGTTATCAACAACAACTATCTGTATATTATATTCCATTACACATACATACACTGTATATACATTATGTAGCTCTAGCAGCATAAAATTTTAATCAAAGTATTTAAGACACTACATTTTACACCCACACATACTCATCGTTCGTTCTCTTTTCTCCTTCGTGTTGATTTCCACCTATTTTGGGAAAAATATTGTTAAAATAATAAACAGTATGATATAGGCCCCAACACATAAATCGCAAAAAAGTAAAATAAAAATATTTAAAATTCTCATTTTTGTACTCAAACCCCTTTAATAATCGACAAATTTATAAGAGAATAGAATTTTATGAATTGGTTCAGTTTTCTTTACGTATTCAGTCACGTTCAATATTTATTGTCGATATAAGGAAAATTAAGTAGGTAATCTATGAGACCTCCAATAGAAGCGATACAGATATTTATTATCATTTGAATAATGCTGTACTCATAACGTGGCCAGACAGGGATGGGTCTGCATTCGTGAATGATGATGAGCTCAAAACTATTACAAGTCTCATACCTTTCTAAGAAAGAGGGTTGTTTGTGTGCTATAGCCGTGCTGGGGACACTCTCGGTATAACTGAAGATATTCATCTTTTCCACAACAAAGGAGCCAGCTCGCGCTGTCCAACCCATAATTCCGCCAGCGGCTCCACTCACTGAAACTATTTCCAGTATGATGTAAATTAAAGAAGTAAAAGAAAATGGTACTTCATCAGCAAATTTGAATGAAAATTTACCTGGGTTATTGTAAGCTTTAGAAGTTTCTGGCTCTTGTGATGTCAGTCTTACGTTACCATCGTCAGTCTCATCGGACGGTAGCCTCTCCAGGCTTGACATTGTGCCATATCTTAAACAACATTAGTAGTCATTATATAAACAGTGACTGATTCTAACTCAATACTTTAATTGTTATCTTATCACCTTTTGAGCGTAACATAAGGCAGGTCATCTGGAACGTCTGGGGAATCTGGGGACTCATCTACAAGGTCATCCTGCAATACAAAAATAGCTCAATAACTCACATCAAAGTCTACAGGTATCCAAACAACTCCTCAAAAGAGAACTCACAGTCTTATTAGTGGAATTAAAGTCGGGCGTTGGTGGTACAACAGCTATGTTAGGAACAGGAGACTCTGACTTGACTGAGCCAAGACTACCTGGTCTAGAACGAGGATTGTTCAAGCTCGTCGGCGAACCTCGTTTAAATGGTTCTACTCTCATCAAATGCGCCGCAGGATTGATGGCCGATAGACCCATCAACATTAAAGGTCCTAACTCTAAATCTTCGTCTGATCCAGCATCAGTATTATTAGCATTCACGTCTTCCATTCGTTCAGTCTTCTTTGTTATATCCCCGTTCATTTTACTGACTGCTGAAATACCCATTCTAGGGGACCGTCTAAGACCTCTCTCTATTTTGAAGTCAGTTTCATCTTCATGTATTGAGTCGTCTTCAAGGAATACTGAAGATGTCTTCAAACAAGAACCGATGTTTTCCCTCTTAGTAACAATATTCATGCCTAAAACTTTATTTAGTACGTTTTCAGCCTTTTGTCTCGTAATCTGTTCTTTTCTGGCGGACGCTGGCGATGGATAGTTGGTTGTGGCAGTTTTAGTTTTTGTTAAAGTTATACTTTCCACACACTTCACTTCGTTCAAGTACTTCTCTTGAGCAATGACGCATTGGACCTGATTGGCGATGTTTGAGTTGGACATTCTTAAATCATTAGAACTAGAGTTGAAGACCATAGAACTACAAGTGGTATGACTGGTGGACAACGGACTATTTCGACTACTGGACGAAGGACTTGGCGATCTTATCGAGTTGTCTTTTCTTAATTCTAACTGACTCTTCGTATGCATGGAATGGGCGCTTCTGCTTAGAATCGGTGAATCAGTTTTTAGTTCGTAGGACGTTGATTTCAGCATTCTCTGGCTTTGTTCTATTGAGTCTATAACCTTTTTAGCTGCTCTGGGACCATCTTCTGGACGTAATTTTATAGCGTTCTTACGTTCTAAGTGGGAGAAGTTTCTTGGTTTACGGTTACCGCAATGAGCACTACATGGACTGGTGGAACTTTTATTTGAGTTTGAGGTTTGGGGCGATGCCTCTGTTTTGGGTTTGGCAGGTATCACCGGTGGCTCCTTTTGGGACACTAGGGGACTATTTGGCTTGGACAAACACTTTTTGTGGCACTGTCTGCAGACCGGTATCGTGTCTACTACCACTGGGCTTGTCCTTACCGTAATCTGAAACAAAATGGGCAAATACAATACAATAAACAGAAAATACTTCATCTGAAATTCATATTTATATTACATACTTGACTTCCTGAATTGCTACTTTTAGACGGACTTCGATCGTTTTCTTTCTTGTCGCCTGGCGACGTTCCTTTAGCTTCATGATTCGAAACAAGATCAGCTACTTCTAGAAGGTTAAGCTCTTTGGACCGTTTTCTCAGTTCTTCTACGCTCCACATCTGTTTAATTATAATTAGTTGTAAATTTTTTGCTGAGTTGTGATGAATTTAATAAAGAATTGATACATTTGCTCATAGTGTCGTTTTTATATTTGTGTTGCTCAGTGCTTACCTCCATGTCAGGTTCAGGAGGATCTAGTTCCTCTGCCTCTGGCAGTTGTGTCATCCACCTCTGCAAATGTAATGTGGACCCTCTACTCCTTGTACTCCTGGCACCTTCTGTGGCACTCCCAGCCCCTCCTGTCTGCGTCTCCACCGAACTGCGTCGCGTCTACAATATTTTCCGAAATAATCTATTTATCTTCCAAAAATTTATTACTTTGTCTTATCAGAAGTTCGTATCTTTTTCGAAGTTTTTATTATAAGTTATATTTCTTTTTTTTATTTGCATTGTGGATATTTGGTGGTCTGATTAAAAGTAACTGTGTTGTTTACTTACCTTAAGCAAATAAAATGTGGTGTGAATTAAAAAAGAGTATACAGGAATTCAGTTGGATTAGCATATTTACAAATTCCATGTTTGCACCCGTAACCGCATAAACACTTAGTGCCTTAAGTGAGATTAATTTACTGTTATTTTAACCTCTCTAGGAATGTTTGGAATAAAGTTTAAATAATCAATTGACCGCTAATACTATTTTTTTAATATAATTAATTTTCTTGCGTTGCATTTGTAAAAAATGTGAGATGAAGACATCAGTGTCAGTTTCTCTAAATCTACTATTTTGTAGATGTAGTAATTATTTATTTTATTTATCTTGCTTTTGGCAGAAGCTTTGCCTTCTTCTTCTGATAAAAAGTAGCCTATGTATTATTGCAGACTAAAATCTACCACTGTCCCAAATTTCATTCAGAAAATAAGAGTAACGAAAATACTTGATGAAGTTTTCAGATTTATAATAGTATTGGTACGATGTATGTCATAATGTAATAATATTTTGGTAGGCTATCTATATTTTTTGGAATTGTTATAGAATCTAACTTATAATGTACTTTTGAGTAGAGACATGCTTTTAAATTCCAATGTGTGCAAAAATACAGAGAAAAATGGTAGATGTTTTGTAAATATTAGATAAACATATTCGTTAGCGTCGCAAAGTTCGAGGATCTTATTCAACTTCAAATAAAAAGAAATATATATTCGCCATTGACAAAATCACTTTATTTACGGATAGTAAGAAATATTCTGCTCCGATCTAAACATAAACATCCAAATTTTATATTATTTAAACCATTAATATGTGATGATGAAACGGGAACTATACGTAAAATGCTTTCTCAAAATTATAAATTTATCCTCGTACTATCAATATAAGACTATATTAAAAATTTACACACAGCCAAAGACATCGAAAATTATCTGATTCTAACTACGTAGATTTGTAAAAAAGGAAAATATTAATACACATACAAAAATTTTCCCGGGAAACGTTTAGGTTATGTGAACATTTTGCGATGCTAGCGACACATATATTACGATCGTCTAAATTGTCAGTTACAATTACATGAGTATAACAATCTATGTGTTCATTTATTACACTAATAAATAAAAAAGCATCAAATAAATCAGTCACATTTAACATCGACTACCATTTTTCTTTGTAAATATATTTATATCTAATGGCGATGAAGATTTCAACAAAATAAGCATTGATCAAATCAAAATGCTCTAATTGTGCAAAGATGGCAACTACATGATTGATTTCGCGAAGCAGATCGCCAAATATCCACATGACCTGTACAATTATCTCTATGTACAGATTAACATTGTGAAGTGTCTGTACACATACAACATCAACATTAATTAGCTAATTGTTCCAGTACACAGATGCAGGAATCAAAGAGTAGAGTGCGCCGACCAAACATGTACCAAAAATAACGAAGCACTTTTGAATTTCTTAAGAAAAGGACGGAAGACTTAAGCAAACTTGTTGTCGAAAAAAGTGTAATGTATTGTACACGAATGTTTACTATTGGTACCCTATAGTTACATTTGACACTGATTTTCTATTTAGTAAATATTGGCATACACATTTTCGATTATACTAAAGCGATTTTGTAAAATACCCAATCGTGAATTCAGTTCTGTGATAAAATTGTAATAAATTTTCTTTATTACCCGGTCGCATCATAAGTAGGGCATCAGACTTACAAATTATTTCTCTAATATAATCAAAATACCGAGATTTCTTTAATACTGCTAATGTTCGAAAATATGTCTCTCAAAATTTTGTTACCACAACCTTAATCTCGACTATAAGCGATTTTTATAACAATCCAACAAACTCGCCTGACTACGCGGCGAAAGCTTTCGACTCCTTCTCCTAAACACCGGCTAAACATGACTACTAGAACACACCATTGAATGGTTTCTTTCGAAAACCTTATCTCCAATTTCTTCGATACCGGGGGTAGCAGGAGTCTGCTAGCTCCGGATCGGACTCCGCGGATCAAAGTTCCAGATAAGCTGGCGGGGTTGGCCGCTCTGGGAGCGCCACCCGCTGCAGGAGGGGATCGTCAGGCAGAAAGATACGCTCCTCGACAGCGTGTTTATATGAGGGGTCGACATCCAAATCTGCTAGAGCTAAATCAGCTTCGAAGGATTCCCATCTGCAGGGTGAAGCTTCAGAATAATCTTCGCCACCATCTGGCGTTAATTGGGCACTGGGAGAAGTATGAGGCTCATCGTTCTTTTCAATGCTTGACGATGAGACGAAATGGGAAGAGAACGTTTGTGATTCTGCTGGAGAGAGGTTAGCAGAAGGCGTTTCAGGGGTGGGAGCAGTTCTCCAAACTGTGCTAAGGGGACCTCGGACAGGTTGTGGAGTGGGGGACTCTGAACTCGTTCTGACGTCGAAACTGACTCTAACTTCCTTCTCTGGACGTTCTTCCACGAGCATGTTGAGGTGCGATCGGTAGGAGCTGGCTGGTAGTAGGGCCAGGCTGGAGTGACGTTGGATGCTGGACGCGGATACCTGGCGTTGTTGCGAGTCCAGCGTGGCGAGCGAGAACGTCAGCTGAGGGTCGGGAGAATCAAGTGGGGAGCCGAGTGGAGTGCCTGACATCGTGTGAGCGCGGTAGCTGGAAGAATAGAGAGTAACAGTTAACTACAATAAAAAAGATTTTTTTTATCTAAAACCTAATTAAATTCATCTTTATAGATTTGATGCAATTCTACTCTGTTTAGTATCATTTTTATAAATTAGGTTAAGTAGCGACTTACATTTGCCTCTGCAGTAAGCTTTGCCATACAGCCTTGAGATCTATGGAAGGAGCTCGTAGCACGACGGTTCTTGTTCTAGCTGGTGTGCGTGGAGAACATGAAACTAAAGGAGACTCGCCGCCCGCACGACCCAAGATCAGACGGAATTCTGTCGCTGTAATATAAAAAAAATATTTTGTGGACAATCAACTAAGAAGGTTAGGTATTTCAAGAAGTCAAGGGAACATTTCTGATAATCAGTGAATGTTATCAAACATATTATACAAACCTTTCTTCCTAACATTGAACTGCGCTTCAGAGACGGTCCCCAGCGCTACTGGTTCTTCCGTGACGAACAGTACTCGGTCCCTTGACACAGTAGCGAAGAGAAGCAGATCACTGAATAGCAACGCCCAGTAGGGTCGAATGGCGCGACCTTCTACCCTTGATAGCTCACCGCCGAAGATCCATTGACGACCTGCCGTGCTTAGCACGAATGGCTGAAAGAAGATGGAATAATCAGTCATCAAATTTTCCTTTCTAAATGTTTCCTTATTTTCTAGGTGTGGATTAGAGAATAAAGATTTTTTGCATTGCCATAATAGTTTTTGTATACCGACCTTACACCTAGTGAACACGAGACGACTCTCCAGGTCGGCAACAGATAACAGTGGCTTGCCATCTCCAGCAAGACCCATCAAACCAGAGCCAGCTGTCACATCTTGGTAACCACACTGTAATAGAGTAGAAAAAAGAACAACTGTGAGGATGGAACCAAAATAAAAACTATTGAGCAAGAATGGAACCTCCTTTCTTTTTGAAACTGAAGACCAAATATGATTATGATGATTACCTGTAGCTGTTCCACAATAACTTGCAGCTGCTTTTTCTCGAGCTGGTCATAAGGTCCTGCTCCATTAGCAGCAGCCGCTGCCCTCATCAGTCGCAGCAGCTCTCGGAACTGCTCCAACGGTTTGTGAACTAGTGACGTGATGTCAGGTCTTCTTCGTGGTATCGGTGGGCTTGTACAGAATCGGGAGAAAGCCCCGCTTGGGTCTTTAGATTTTTTTACCTGTGAAAAGACGTGAGAATTTGGTTTTAAGAAGAATCTTTCCATTTGTACTCCAAATGTGTAAAGGTTACTTTGTCTGTTTTTTGAAATACCTACCAGAACACAATCAGCTCGTTTGAGGCCAAGGCAGTACTTCTTATAAAGACTAAGGAACACAGGGGTCTTTTGAAGGTAGACGGCGACTACAGTCGAGGTTTGGATCTCTCCATCATCCTGTACCACTTGATCCAGAATGTCTTCCGAAAGTCTGAAGATCTAAAAGTTGATATTCAATGAGATTACTAAGCATGATATTTGTGGTCAAACCCATTGAACATTCCAGTTAGGATCATTATTTTAGGTTTTTATTTTTATGTATGTGTTTGTAGATTATACAATTTTTGAATAGTAATTATCATGAGAAATACTAAATTCATTGAAAATAATGGTTTAGTAAAGTAACTGAGTGTATTTTAGAGTCCCGTTGCGACTTGAAACTAGTAGAGCTACTCTCAGTTAATTCACATGAGTGAGTTTATTTTACAGATTTAATGGACCAATGGTTAATAAGTTTTTGGTTTTTTTTTTATATTATATTGTTTGTTCATACCTCTTCAATATTTTGGAACAGCAGCTGATGGTCATTAGGAGCTATAAGGTCTGCTCTTTCAGCCAGTGGTGATACAAATCTGACTAGACCGAATTGTAGGCAGGTTCCGTAATGCTGTTCTCTGGCTACCACTGCTAGGAGTGCGCGCTTTCTGCCGTCCGTTGATAACCCTGGGGTCTGATGATGAATGGTTTTGTCAGTTGCTTCTACTACTCAAAAGTTCCGGTTATTGGTGAAAATATTAACCCTTGACTGATTAATTGGAAATTCCTCAACTTTTATGTAAATACCCAAGTTTGTATGTTTGTATATGGTTATTTCTGTTTCATTGAACTATTTTTACTAATGATACTTGTATGATGTATGCGCGCTGGTGTATTTTGGTGCTTAGTGGGATAACGTGAGTATATTATGGCAAACAATGCATTACCAAAACAACATACCTAAGCCAAAAAATCCAAAATTGCCTTACCTAAATCTGATTCGATTGTCATCGAAACTACTTATGTATTTCATTGCCTTATGAAGACTATTAATAATATAGCTCATGCTCATAGATGTAGGCGTATCAATGTATCCCTTGCGAGTTCATTATTGAGATGTAGATGTACGTGATGTATTTATTGATTTAACTTTAAAGTTAGCCTTTCTTGTTAACTTTTTTGTTAGTTATATAATCTTGCAAATCAAATTCTGTTGCAACACTGAAAGTGTCTCGTTACTTACTGAGTTCCCTTATTCTTACACTTTCATCTCTAGTTACTTGGGATTATAATTTTAATTCAAATTCTGTTGGAACACTTAAAATTACTTAACAATTTTTCTTATTCTTACAACACTCATCTCTAGTACCCTCATCTCTACTTACGATTAGAGTAAAATCAATGTTTGTCTTTCCTTCCAGTCAGTCCCATTCCTCGTATTCATTGCGCTACGATTGATTAAATTCTTCTTTTTGAATTTCGAAATACTATTTATAATTCAGCAAATAATTTATTCATAATAATAAAATGTCAAGGTCAAGGTCATAATTGGGATCACCTAACATTTAGCACTAGACTGCTTAGGTTATTAAGTATTTTTCGGAAAGTGAGTGTAGTTGGTCTACTACTTACATCCAGGGGTACAATCAAATAACAAAACATTTTTTTTTGTAAACAGGTTATAAATTAACACTTTTACATGTCAAAATGTTTAAAATAAAAAGTCATGCTGACACAAACTCAGAGGTCAGTTTCTTTTAAGGTCCAGACAATGTAAAAAATAATAAAACTAATATGTCTGAGCCGTGCAAGTTCTTTCTGTACCTACTTAGTTAGCATTTTGAGGAAAGAACCAACACCAGTTTAAGTGGGCGCAAAATTAAAAAAAGACAAATTATGTATTTTTGGTAATAGTTTTGTGTTACATAATAGTTATTCCTTCTTTTTACGTGGTCTCAGGAACTGGTAGAATAGAGCGATAAGTTTTGCGTGGTCGAATTATAGAACGTTGAAAAAAATTGGACACTGCTTTCTACCGGATGATAATGATGGAAGGAAAGGATCGGGGAAAAGTAACAAAAATAAAAATAAACAAAAAAAGAAAATTAAAAGCAATAAATTTATTTGCACTTAAAATTATAGAACATAAATTAAAAACGAAATAAAAAACAACAGGAACCAAATTTTTTGCAATCAATACGACGAATAAAATAAATTAAAAAAAAGTAAGTACAAATACAATAGAAAATTATAAAGTTACAAAAATTAAAATTGTACAAAACACAGCGATGGGTACAATGTAAATACAACACGCACGAACTAAAGATAATGAAAATAAATTAGAAAAGAAAAGTAAAAATGAAAACTTTAACAAAATAAATATTAACAAAAACAGTGAGCTTAAACGTAACGATTCCCCATTTAATGCTTTTCAATTAATTACTTAAATTAAAATACACGAAGACATACTAGCTAAAGTAGTGTAAACTGCAGATTTTTAAGGAAACAATTCTTAAAATTCTAATAAAAATTTCGAAATAAAATATTCACGAAAGCATTAAAATAAATAATTTTGATCAGTAATTTTTAAATTTATGATAAATATATTCGATCAAAAATCTGCAGTACACGAAGAAAATATGTAATAGCTTAGAAACTAAAGTAATGGAATGTATCATGAAGTATTTACAGGAAGAGAAAGAAGGTAAAATAAAATTAATAACAAAATGTCATACACACGACTGTACAATTAAATACGATAGTAGCCTCCACGCTCCAAGAACATACTAGATTCATACTAGCACCAAATTCGTTAAATTTTTGTCTCTCAAATACCAAAATAATAAATTCGAATAATGTTTCTAATGGTCAGTCCGTGACACGCAAACTCGTGGTTCAAGATATCTTTGAAGCAAGTCTAGAACTTTGACATCCAATTTAGGTAAGTTGAAGTTGAAAGTTGTGTAGCAGATATGAATCTGTCATACTCACTCGGCATCGACTAAACGCTTCTAAATATTTAGTAGATAGTCCTGTATTTCATTCATTTGAGGCTAATGGAAAAAAATATGACTGATATTATAATTTACTTTATTTGAATGTAACTTTTCATGTTCAGGATAATAATTCATACTTTAATTTTTTTTTTATCAGAACCGGTAATTTTGCGAGGACGGACTGGCCACTAAGATGACTAGTTTCCAAAATGATTTCGATGAAGTGTCAAACGATAATACCGTTACCGACCTCTTTGGAGAATGTGACTTGGGGCAAATGGAGCTTGCGTCGGTCCAGGGACTGGCTGGTTGAAGAGCAGGCAGTAGGGGGCCGAGCTGCTGTGGCTGGTGAGGCTAGGGCAGTAGCTCGAGGTGACCTTGGGGGTGGAGGGGGCGTAGACTCCGCAGTGGGAATGGTCACCTGAGTCAACCTTGGTCGAACTCCCACTCCATTTGGAGGCACCCGTCTGAACGTTTCTATGTTTAGCATTTGACCTGCTGATCTGGAAATAAAATGGAGATAATTTAGATAGCTGTCCTTTATTTATCCAGAAGTTTTGGTTTGACTTTAGCCTAATATTCAAAGTACTATATAGTTCCAAGATATCCATTACAAAAACGAATATTTCAATAAAATCATACTTACTTGACAAGGTTCCGGACCTCCTCTTCATTGGATGTCACTACGTTCTTGTTGCCCACAAACACGAGGTAGTCTCCAGCCCTCAGGCCAGCGCGTTCAGCGGAGCCTCCTGCTGCCACCCTTTCGACCCTCGGTGGTCTGGTCCATACAACTGTGAAGCCGAATCCTCCAGCAGTACCGCGGATGAGTCTGAAAGTAAGGATTAATAGTTTAGTTTTGCTTCTTTGGAAAAACAAAATTATGTGAACAGAACTCCATAGAATGGAAGTAAAATATAAACACATATATTACGAACGATACAAGTACGTTTGAAAGATATTCAAAAGGATTACACATGATACGATTAAGAATTATGATCAAATACATTTCCAACCAATGCCTGTCCAAGTAAGCGGTCTTAATTCGATTTCTTCCACTTTTTGATTATTTGGATCTTTGCCAGAACATTTCAGTTGAGAATGTTTGTCATTAGTTGGTTTTCTTCTGAATAATGAGCCAGGCCGTTAGTTAAGTTACTGTTTATGTTGATAAAGGGGACGTTAAATTAGTTTCAATTACTACTACAGTAACCTTAATTCCCTTTGGTATCTTTTATGAATTTTTAGTATACATTTGCATACAATTTTGTGATCGTCTCTCTGTGTATCTATAAGAACATTCATCTGATCATATATTGATTCTAATAGTGATCAAATGAAATAAGTACGATATTATTTTCTGTTTCGTGTTTTAAGTATACAAAAGTTGCTAGATCGTACTCACTTCCTTGTGGTAGTAAACGGAGTCCTCCCGTTTCGTGGTGCTCGTCTGGGTGCGTTAGGGTCTTCAGGAGGATCCAGCTCCAAGTATCGGAGGAACAGGTGCTCGTCAGCCTCTCTCTGCAGGGCAGCAGCCACTGCCTGCGCTTGACTTGCTGTTGTTGACGCTGGACCGTTTGTTGATACACCTGGAGATATTGGAGATATGAAATAAGATGATTAGGGAATAATCAAAGTAAAGTAAGTTTTTCGCATTTAATCAATATTTTCATTCATCGATGTATACTTCTTTTATTATGATAACTATGACTAATTTCTTAGTACTAACCTTTATCATTATGGTTTTCTTTAGTGCCATCATTAGTGCTTGTTTCAATGTTGTCGGTAGCCATCTTGTGTGAATCTCCTTCAGTCACGCGGTCCTCTCTAACGAATCTGTCATTGGCGTGTGCCGGTGCCGCGTTCTGGCCGCGCCCAGAGCTGTGTTGCAGGAAATATGTGCCGGATATGTCGCAGTTAATTGCATCTTTTATTGGGAACGAGACACATCCTAAAAACTCGCTCCGCCTGTAACAATTGAGAATTTATTAATAAACCTCGTTTTAGCTACGTTTTATCCCTAAGTGTATTTCAATTGATTAAGAACAACATCAAAATGTTTCGTCACTTAGTTACATGAAAACAATAGTTTAGTCGAAAAAAGTCAATTTAACAAAATTTCCACAAGTAAATAGCGTAGAAACTAAATGTACCATCAACGCACCATTTTGTTCGTTAAAGGTCAATAGAACGTCTCCGAGATGGGAATAATATGTAAATGTACGCAATGGGGTGACGTCGTTTTGTTTGATAATGGCAAGCTGGCGTCCGCTACGTACGGACAAAACGGTTCACAGTTGGAATTTATTTCCCAAGAACACAGAAGTAAGTCATGATAAAACTTCGGAACAAATTGATTAAAATATTGAAAGTATTACAAATAAAAGTTAGCTAAACAATAATAAAAATTTCAGAGAAAATCACAACATCAGTTAGGATAACGACAAGAAATATTAAAAGGGGACGAAAGGACATATATTTTGCAGACAGGGTTAATGAATTAAAGTATCATAAGCATTTGGGGTTTATAAAGACAAAAACATTAAATTGGTTGACATTTTCTGTTTTTATTTAATACAATATTAAAAGCGGCGTGTATTAAACATGAGTCATTGGTTAGCCGCCCTTAATGCAGCGAGGGCTTGCCTGACATGGCCTACATACGCGTTACGTAAGGAGTCATCAATACGGTTTGGTTATTATGTATAGTTCCTGTTTTGGGAGAGGCTTTGGTTGTTGTTTCTTTTCTGTGAAATTCCAGTTTGCTTTGAAATTCTTGTCTTCGATAACATTGTATTTTTCTCAATTATTTTAAGAAAGACAAACGCTATATCTTGCCATGTTCCTTCATAGTTATCATTCTCTTCATAAACTCGTATTTCCTTATCGCTTTTTTATTTGCTCTTTCATTTCTGAAAGCAATTTCATTTAAATGGAACATTGCAGTAGTATTTTTATCGTTTTAATTCTTTATTGTGTTCTTCAATGAACTAGTTACACGATTATTTCTTTTACTTTCTTCATCATTATAATTAATGCCACGTTCATGTCGATCTCGGTCAATTCGTTCATAATTGTTTTTATTTCTACTGCAATCAACCCTACCACGACTGTATAGTTTTTTATTGCGTGTGCTTGTAAACAGATGTGCATTAGCATGCACTGTACTGAAATAGCTTTGCGTGTGCTATTTGCATGCACGCCAGGAGAAAGTTTACCCGACCTTGCAGGTTCATCTGATTAATTGGTTCCACATAGTCTAGCTATGGCGTGAGGTTTCGTCAGGTCAAAAGTAAGTGAGGTTAGGAACATGTTAGTGGACGATACTATGAATGCATATGGACGAAACATTTGAAAATTAAATTTGATGGTGTTTTCGTAGTTTTACATATACATATTCATATTTTCTGTCTTAAAACAACCAAAAGTGGTTTAAAAAGAAAATATCTTGTTAGTTCAACTCTCTTTAAACCGATTGATCGATATAAATAAGTAGGTCCCCTTGCAGATGTACTTCTTTAATCGCTAATTATAATATAAGTTTACAATAATTGAGTGTGTTTTCGTCGCGACTATTAGAATGGCAGTGGCCGGAAGGCGCGCAGCTCGAACCTCTCGCTCGCGCTACGGATGCGTTCCATACACGACGAAGAATGATGCGTTCCGGCGTAGACACCGATGGCAAATTATTAAATTATACACACCTTTGGCTAAACTCTTTATGTCATTATACATTTAAAGTTCATTAAATAACATTGCAAAACTGCAGCTAGAGTCCATAATATCCGTCATTAGGGATCGATTACGATATTGCTTCACGAGCCTCATAAGCTTTGCCAGTTTATAAGTAGTTTTGTTCCAAACTAATTACAGGCCGAGTTTGCTTCCATATATGAGAAAATGTTATACTTTATAGTAACCAGTGGTTAGATCGTGTCATTATGTCCAATATGGTATTCCTGCTCTTACGTGACGGTATGAAATAGAGCAATGAGCTGAGAAAGTTATTTATAAGTATAAATAAAAGTAAATTGTTGAAATAACTGCACGTGCAAACCTCTGACAGTAATATGTCGGTCTGTTACTATAACATTTATATTCTTTTGAAGGAATAGGCTGTATAATTTGGCTACTAGTGGTGTATTTTGAAATTTTCGATCCGACGAAATTTTGAACAAGTCTCAAGAATCAAATCTTCAGTCAGAGAGACAGAAAATATTCTCTCAATGGTCCTTAACCTCGACAGCTAAGTCAACAAAGAAATAAGATCCTTTGTAGCTTTAGAATTGAAGGAAAACAAAACAAAAGTAAAAAGTAACAAACAAGAAAAAGTTTATGATTGATTAATAGAAGCACAAACAAATATATTTTAGCCGATTGTTACAAAGCCAGAGGCACCTTGTATTGTAGTTAATGACACTTCATTACATCACCTTTAAAGAAGAACTCAAAAGTAGAATTATGAGCTAAAATAGATCAAAGTGTAGATAGGTATCAAAATGTTTGAAATCCAGTATAAAATCGATAACACGTCAATTACGTTGGTCATTAATTGAAACAAATAGCGACCTGAGATTTGAACGTCATCGGGTTCCCGGTGAACTAACTGGAAATATAAATTGATTACGAATATTAATTGGAAAACGTCGAGCGAATAAAATTCTGCAACGGATTTTAGTGGAACATTTTCATCAATTTGACGGTGTTTCATTTATTTTACTGTTTTTGCATCGCTGTGATGTTTCGTGTTTAGAAGAATAATTTGTAGTTATTCCTGTTCTATCAAAATTTCCTTTATTATAAGTTTTAACTTAACTTGTTCAATGAATTTCCTTGCTTGTTTTTCTCTATTTGAATCTATTATTTTGAATGACTATTAGCTTCATTGATTGACAAATAAAATATAATGTTTAGATCTTTGACTTCAAATGTAACTATGATTAACATTCAGATTATAAAATACACAGGGTATCTTGTAAAGTTTAAGATGAGAAGAAAATCATAGTCATAATGTCATAGTTCATTTCAGAGCAGTTAGTCCGCCACTGTCGTTTAATCATGTGTATGCAAAAAATGATGGATAGCTTTCGGTTTGTAAAGGTAAAAGGGTTTGTTAAGGTTTTCAACTCTAAACACCGTATCAAGAAAATAAAATTTTCGTTCCTGGATTTTATTTACCACATTTCTCTTGGGTTCAATAACTTTACTAATCAACTTGACAGTGTTCATTTACATACAAATGCTGGTCACGTCTAGACAGGTTATCGCTGAATTCTTATACACCGAAGGAAAGCGTCCACTTACATGTATTATACTGTTATTATAGTCTCACGCAGTAATTCTTATGGAAAGGGTATAAAGTTCATTTTTGTTTAATACATATTCAAAATCTTTATCATCTTCCCTCGCTTTCTTCTCATCAACATTCATTTCTTCTTAACATTCTTGGTCACTTCTTATATTATCTTCAGTTACAACATTTACGCACAACATATATCTATAGGGTTCGTGCAGGGTCTTTCCCTAATCACATAAGCCTCTAAGCATGCAAGGGGCTGTTCCAAAGCCTTTCTCTCCCATCCTGTGCATTACATTGGAGTGCATCCATGCGTACTAGGGTGATGGAGACACCAATCGCAAAACTTACGGAGACTGCTGTCACTCTTCTGATATTGTGCTGATGCTCGATTCCGTCATTCTGTCCAAGATATCTGCGGGGAGACTGTTCTTTCTGGTTCTCTGTTCTGGGGGGTCCCATTCTGGGAGACTGTTCTTTCGGCTGAGCTGGGTGTGACGGTGCGCGTGCTGATGCGAGCAGTGTTGCCGTGGCGGCGGGTCCTCGCGAGACCGCGTCTGACTCAGCCCCGCGACCGTTTGCGATACGAACGACATCTTTTTTGACAATTTACTGTAAAATATTAGGCTTTATAGTTCGGGATACATAAAGCAAACCTTTTTTGGGTTGAGAAAGCTCAGTTATAAATAAAAAGGTTCTTTGAAACGGAGGAAATCTCAAATTGAACAAATTAGGGGTATGGTATTGGTAGAATTTTATTCGCGAATCATCTATAAGATTAAAACTCCAGATATTAAACAAACACACGTTTATGAATATATATCTTGTTAATTATAAAGCTTAACTGTGGCTTTCATATTTGTCACCCTAGTTACAACTAATGAGAACGAATATATCCAATTAGTACCAATTAACATAAGACTAGATAATCTAGGCCAAATTGATCCAATTAAAGCTGATTATCATTTGTATATTACTATGACGATGACCTTAAATAATATACAACTAGAAGCTACAGCCTGAAGAAAACGTGCTCAAAATTGAAAGTTTCAGTAAAGGCGAAAGTAAAACGAAGTCACGCGATGTACGTGTAGGTAGGATTAAAAATACGGCGTTTCTCAGTAATATATCAAGTTTGTTGTAGTTCTTTAGGATTTAAATAAGCCACTACGCAATAACGAGAATTCCTCAAGTCTTGATTTATAAAGGGTTTTTTGTTTCTAAAAGCGAATGTTCTAGATTAAAAAATACTTCTACAAAAGCATTGCTATTTTATACTCTGACTGCATTCTTCTTTATCCACTCAAGCGCACACAGCTCATTCGAAACTCTTTGATCTTTTCTAAGATTTTCATCGTATTGTTGTTTCGCATTACCTAACTAAGATCCAGTTCTTGTAAAACAGTTTCCACCGACATAAAATGCTACTGTTGCCTCGGACAGAAATAAACTGACTCCCATTTTCCATTTTATGTGGTCTCGAACTGCCCTTTGTCTCCGTCAAAGGTTGTAAAGGGAAATTGTACAAATCGTCGCACATCACGCGAGCAACAAACACCCTGCCCTAATGAATTGGCAATTTATACAAATTACTCTATTGTTTTACTATATTGACTGGCTTTGTCTAGGTTGCTGTGGCGTTCGATTTCAGGATGGGCAAATCATTTTTGAG